AAGGGAATGTTATGTTTTGTGAGAATTGAACCTAGGGGCAGTATGTACAGTAAAAAAAGGATGGGGCCCAGAATCGAGCCTTGGGGAACCCCACAGGTAAGAGGGGCTTTGGCAGAGGAGAAGGCACCTAGCTGCACTGAGAAGCTACGGTCTGTCAGGTAGGACCTGAACCATGCAAGGGCAGAGCCTGTGATGCCAGCGGACTGTTCAAGCCGTGACAGCAGGATGCTATGGTCCACAGTGTCAAAGGCAGCTGTCAGGTCTAACAGCACCAAGACAGCTGGGCTACCTGAGTCGGCAGCTAGGAGCAGATCATTAAAAACTCTTAAAAGGGCTGTTTCAGTGCTGTGCATGGGTTTGAAGCCAGACTGAAACTTTTCATGGATTCCATGGATGGTTAAAAAAGACTGCAGCTGGGCGTAGACTACTCGCTCCAGGGCTTTAGATAAAAAAGGTAGCTGGGAGATGGGCCTAAAATGTGCGAGAATGGAGGGGTCGAGATTTTTCTTTTTAAGGAGTGGCTTGACCACGGCATGTTTGAAGGCAGCTGGGACACATCCTGAGGTAAGAGAGGTGTTTAAAAGTAATAAAATACTTGCTCCAACTGAATCAAAAACATCTCTGAGAAGGCGAGAGGGAATGCTGTCTGAGGTGCAGTTTGTCGGCCGCAGGTGCTTGACTACATCCGAGAGAGAAGAGGGGGATACAGGCTCGAAGTGGTCGAGGACAGCAGGGCACAGAAAAGGAGCAGGATCTGGGGTAGCACTAGTGTGGGCTAGCCTAAGAGCAGATACCTTTTCAATAAAAAAATTAAGAAACTTATCACAGAGAGTAGTCGATGGGACAATAGAAGAAACATCACAGGGATTAATGATAGAGTTGCGGACATTAAAAAGTTTTATGGCTATTTTTGGAGATTAACAGAGAAATGTGCTCTGTTTTGGCTGCTTTGACTGCCGTCTGGTAGTCAGAAAGGCAAGCACGAAGGATTTCTAGGGAGACATGGAGTTTATCCTTTTTCCATTTTCTCTCTGCATGCCTGCAAGCGCGTCTGAGAGCACGAGTACAGTCATTGAGCCACGGCTCTGATAGAACTTTGGTGCGTCTAAGCGTAAAAGGAGCAACAGAATCCAGTATTAGGGTACATGTCGAGTCAAACATGGAGATAAGCTCATCAGCATTAAAAGCACAGTTCACCTCTAATTTACAGATCGGAGAAGCATTAAAAACATCAGAGAACTGTGAGGCAGTCAAGGGGTTAATCGAACGCAGACGACGCGCCGGGGCACGTGATTCGACTCCTGCGGAAGGGATGTAGGTTGTAAACAGAACCGGTAAATGGTCTGAGATACGCGTTGCTGCACATATTTCATCCACAGATACAGACAGTCCAAACGATAATACTAAGTCCAAAGTGTGTCCTTTTTCGTGTGTTGGGCCAGCCACGGACTGAACGAGACCAAAAGAATCAAGGAGATTTAAAAAGTCCCTAACCAGAGGTTTGGACTCGCAACACACATGGACATTGAAGTCTCCGGAGATCAAAACACGATCATATTTCACCATGATCCCGGACAGAAAGTCAGAAAAGTCATTTATGAAATCCTTAAGTAAGGTTGTATTACTATACATTATAGACAGGTATAAACCAATTTAATTAAATCACGTAGAATTTCCCATTAGTTTATGCTCTGTAAAGAGCTGCCCTCAAAGAAAAGCACCAACAGGACTGACACATTGTCATATGTTAATGAAATGTCTGAAATAAAGTGCTCTCACTAGCTATGATTCAGCCCCAGTGGTTCGATACCAACCACAAGAGAGAGAGCAGACAGAGAGGCCACAGGCTGATATGTTGTGTCTGCCGGCTGATGGTTGTGTCGCGGTGCAACAGAATGGGCGACGGGGCTCAGTTCAGCACCAGCCAGGCCCATCTGCTTGTCACCTGGCCTTGGCACGCAGGAGTCTGGGTAATGACAGGGAAAGAATGGCATCAGTGGGCAGAAGCTGAGAGGTAATTACTGACTGGAATCCATGCAGAAACAACACATCTGGATCCATGAGTCAAAATGTGGAAGATTATACACTGATACCTGCCTCAATTCCAGATTGGTATCCGTCAGAACCGCATATCAGCCTGGAGACCGAAAATCCTTGACTCCATCCCGCACTCTCTGATCCTGATGTTCTCTGCTGAGAGGCACAGAGAAAATTCATTTGTAATTTAGGCAGTGGAAAGGGAGAGAAAGGGAGCAGCGCTGATACACCAAGACAATCTGTGGGGAGAATCAGCCATGGCAGCACTATACTTTCAGTGTTGAGTGACGCTATCCTGGCTCATGTGTTACTCCCCTCTACTCCATCACTGCTCACACATTCCTCCTAAACCCCATTACTGATGATCAATGTTGCTTCTTTCACAGTTTGAGAGAAATGATCTACTTGAAAGTGATATTTTCTCAGCAGATTTTAGGGCCAACGCTAGCACAGTTCTCAATTGGGAGAGTTTACATTGGAGCTGTGGAAGATGACCTATAATGACGACTAGTAATAGAAGACTGCATTGCCTTATAATTAACATGTGGCCCCCTCAAAGTCCCATTTAAGGACTATTCTCCTCTGAGAAACTGACCAGAGAAGTTAATGAAATCCTGCAGGTTGTTTGCAGGCACCAAGCGTCACCAAATGACCCTCCTTCAATCTCCAGCAGGGGTGTCTCCCTCCTTGAGCCTGGGGGAGTGGAGACCTGGGCCACATTTTGACCGAGTTCCCGTCCTGCATCGATGACCGCTTTTACAGACCCCATCCACTCGAAAGAAAGAAGCCGCCACTGTGTGGAGTCTCAGCGCCCCCCCCCCCTACCACCCCCCTCTCCCTCTCACTCCCTCAAATTAAGATTTCAGTAATTAAATTGATAAAAGTCATGCATGCCAATATGCCTCATGGTTCCAGACCTGATTTCATACGCCACACAGTTGTGGAGGGCTGCAGAAGTTCTACCTTTGATGTGGCATTTTTTATTATTGAAAATAATTGGATTCCCCCCCCCACCATCTCTCTCTCTCTCTCTCTCTCTCTCTCTCTCTCTCTCTCTCTCTCTCTCTCTCTCTCTCTCTCTCTCTCTCTCTCTCTCTCATTTACACATACATTTTGCCCGTGTTCACTTTGGACATGCTCAGTTAATCGACCTCTTGCAATGCAGTGCCGGTGCCGAGTCCCTGTTCTATCTGGGGGGTTTTCAGGCAGCTTTTCAGCAGAGCGGGGCCCAGGTTGTGTCTGAAAAACGGATTTGGCCAGCCCAGGCAGTGTGCTGAGGGACGTTATTTCAACACGGGTCAGGGGTTGTGCTGCAGGTTGGAGTGGCTCCTGCCAGTGAGTGGGAGCGGTGAGACTTGTGGGAGCGGTGGTGAAGCCCACCGGGGCTCTGTGGCTCTACCTCCGTATCAGCTTGGCCGGGCATAAGAAAAGAGCCTCTCTGGCCCACAGGCAGCTGGCTTCTCTCCACACTCAGCGGAACGGCTGATAATCAGCAGAAAGAGACCCCTGATGATTACTCTGCCTCTGCCGATGACGGCTGCTAACTGCTTGCCTGCTCACTCCTCAGAATGTCAAACTAGTACTCACATTTGAAAACCCCCTCCCCCTTCCCCATAGAAAAAGCCTACAATGTCCATCAATCTCAGCTCTCTTTGTATCAGGCGTAAATGTGAGTTTAATTGCCACTGGAACAGAACGAAGGAATTTTTGATTTCCACTGTATGTCATCCTCTATCAACTGTGGACAGATGCTATGTGCGCGCCTTTTCCAGGACACAAGATGTCTGGCTTTGCTAGTCTCTGCCTTGTGGGCCTCCTCTGTGCCAGGCATGACACAGAAACGGAACAGCCCTATTTTAGTAGTTGCTTTGCTGCAGTAGCATAATGGTCTTAAACAGCTTGTCTCTCTTCCCAACAAAGGATCTGCCAGGGTAAATAATGTGTTTGACGCCCAACTGATAAGTCATCAAAGGAGCTGAACGTCAGCTATTTTATTTTACTGACAGTACTTAGCTCAGCACAGACTCTCCACAGCACAGGTCAACACAACTCAGGCATCTCCTTTAGAGGTTTATACACATTTCAAGTGACTATGTATAAGGTCTGCATAGGGTGACTGCAATACAATTTAAAAGTAATTTATGTTCATTTTAAGTCATACATGTTTTTTATTTCTCTTTAACTATTACAAAAGTTGGTGCTTCTGTTTCTTGAAATAAAATGTCAGTATCCTAAACGCTTAAGTAGGGCAGTGCAAGTAAGATTACTTCACTACAAGAAAGTAAGGTTTGGTTTGGAAATAACTATTTGAGATAGTATGTCAACCTGTTGGTAGGTTCTTAAAGAAAAATCTAATTTTAAAGAAAGAAGAAACTAGTAAATTCTGCAATTTTTTGTATTAAATAGCAAAATGGTAATATCTGAATGTTAAAAACCTCTTAAACACATAACGCATAAATGTCATCCCTTCTAAAAAAGATATTTGGGTTATTGGTACTGATAAACAATTGCATGAATCTTCTGTTTATAGGCAATATATAAGGTGTAACACCTTTTAGACTTAGAACTTGGCTCTACAGTGATGGCTTGTGTGCTTAGGAGGCTACACAGCTCAGTGCAGGCCACTTTTTGTTAATTAGTTATTATATACTGAGACCATAAACTAGCAATTACTTTGGCTTATACAGTAATTATTTAGAGTGGGCATTGTTATTCAGTAAAGAGGAGTATCTCTGTTGAAGTCATTCGACAGTAGCTGTAGCCAACACTGAAGTATATAGCACAACTTATTAACTCTTCTAAGCACATAAGCCTTTGCAGTATTCTGTAGCTTAAGTGGGCTCAGCCATGGTCGCTCCATATTATCATGGCTCAGCTCATTGTGATTTTGGCTCCTTTCTTTACTGCAATTCTCAAAGATTATGGAACCAAATTAAAGTCCGTTCTTTGTGTCTTTTGTACAGGTATATTCAGGGTGCATCTTCTCCAAAGGACATGGTCATCATTGTGGATGTGTGAGTATCCTCAGTCTCTCTCACTGCCTCATCCTTCAACATTTCCCCCTGGCGGGAGTGGATGTCTCCTTCAAAGGGTGCTAGTGCCACCTGTTGGTCTGAGGACAGCCTCAAGTTAGAGCACATCTGATCATTTATTCACAATCATTGAAGTCCACTTACTGTCTTAACACCATCTAAAACATTCAGATGTAATTATTAAATGTTTGCCTAAACATAAAAGGATTTAGTGAGAACGAAACCAGTTTTTTACAAGTTAGGAAAATGTGCCGTATCTAGTATCACTGCACTGCTAAGTGCTTCATTGCGTTTTCTCTTCAGGAGTGGCAGTGTTAGCGGACTCACTCTGAAGCTGATGAAACACTCCGTAATTGAGATGCTGGAAACTCTATCAGACGACGACTATGTGAATGTGGCTAGGGTAAGTAGTAGCTTTCATCATGATTTGTGATTAATGCTAAAAATCACTCCTGAAAGCACCAATCACAAATATTGTTCATATTCATTAATAAATTATAATCAAGCAGTAAACACCACAGTGTGCTTTTACTGCCCCCAGTTATTTGCCGGCAGTGGAAATACTGCACTTCCCTCATTATAGTGTATTCACTACCACCGTATTACCACCGTTGTCCGTGAGGGATTGTGCCGACTCTTTATTTCCCTGTCTGCTGATTGCTAAGTTTTCTATTAGGACTTATGTTTAGGGCAACATTAACGTTATCCTATATTGCAGGACAGATAAAACATCCACATGCTCTGTGTGGTGGCTCTGTTTGGAGACTTCCTTCTGTAATCCTTCCTAATCCATTGCTCTTAGCCACTGTATGCCTCTAAATCCTAGCTCTAAGAGCAATAAATGAGCATGGTAATCTGGGTGGGAATGCATCTGATTTTCACCCCACTAAAGAAGTGAAGGCTTACAAAAGCTTGCTGTGAATTATTTGCAAACACAAAGACATAAACAACCAAAAATTAACTGAAAATAATCAACAATCACCGCCTCTGGTATCTAAGTGTTTCAGCCCTTTACTCATGACAAACCGTGGCCTCAATGTTGTTATGACGATATAATTAGTCATGATAATAGAGATTTATTTCAAAAAAAAATTAATTTCTTTAGGCATCATCGATGAAAGCAGTTTGTTCTACATCTTGTTACATAGCTACTGTTATTCCAAGCATTTTAAGACACAAGAATGTGATATTAAGAAGTGACATTGATGAATATTGAATATGTTGCTCTGAATGCTTTTGTGTTTTTGATTTCGATGGCTGACAATTTAAATATGACACAACACCAACCCATGAGAAATGTCATCTTTTCTCGCAAACATAATGTTTTACATCAATCTGTCATGAAAATGTCAGTAGATTTTGTAGTTGACCTTCAAAGGGAAACAGCATTTGAAACAGACACACTGTAGCTGCTAATATTGTCTTCTCATATAGACACTGCACAGAAGCAGAACAATAAACCCCACATGCACATCCATACTCCTCACACAAACCTGCACACACAGTTTTAGGATAATTTGGTGAATGAGATGAGACAGATGATATTACCTTGGCCGGGTTTCTGCTCGGTGGCTTGTATGGCGTTTCAGGTGCACCTGTTCTTTGTGTGGAAAGTTGTAATTACCAGGGTTTACTGCCAGCCAGAGAGTCGCAGGGCAGCTTACATCTGCACACACCCCCGTATGCATCCTGCCGCCATGGCCTATGCACGCATACACAGAAACACACAGATATACAGAGTCTTACAACATTTGGACTGATTTTTTTTGTGGTATTTTTGCATTTTTAATATACACATACAATATGTTCATGTCTGTGTTTGCATTTCCCCTTTCTAGTTCAATGAGAAGGCTGTGGAAGTCGTTACATGCTTCAAGACTTTGGTCCAAGCCAATAATCGGAACAAGAAAATCTTCAAGAAGGCTGTCTGTGATATGACCGCCAAAGGAACCACAGATTACAAGACTGGCTTCACATTTGCCTTTGAACAGCTTCTCAATGTAAGAGCCAACAAGCCTTTTAGAGAAGGGCAATGCAAGGGTGAATGTTTGTCTGTGTGCCTCTAGAAAATCCTTCAATAAGGCGCTGGAACTCTGTACTGAAGCTCCAGCATGTTATTACACATCCTGTCAAATCCGGTTAATTCTATCTGAATTAGCAGTGATAAACGCTGCTGACAGTGAGTGGTCCAGGTTTGTATAAGACATTTCCAGAGTTCTGTCATTGTCGAAGCTAGGTCTGGTAATAACTGCTGTTGCGATGGAGCGGCGCTAACGCTGCAGCAGCCAGCGCCGCGCTGAGGTCTGTCAGCAGCGGGCGTCCACGTGCTCTCACACAGGTGCTGCCTCAGCGCCGTATGCTGCTGTGTATTTTAAGAGGCTGCCACCCTAATGGGCTCTGATGGGATGATTGATGAGCGCAGCCCAGAGGAGATCAGCCACAGACACTTTATATTCCTCTGGTGGGCTTGGAGGCATAGAGCCAAGTGCCAGCTGCCCCCCTCCAACCCCCTCTCCGCACCTTCACTTGCCAGCAGAATGAGAAATAAAAAGGCCTGTTTAATCGCTGTCTGTGGCAGACTCACTCCCATGATTGGTGGCAGAAGCACAATAAAAATATGTAATTGTAGCAATATTATTTATCTTTATTAGAATCTTGTCAGATTGACATGCCTCTGGCCTGCATATCAATGGCAGCTGCTGTGCAGGCAGGCGGGGGAGTTGCTATCAAAGCTGAATGCTAAAGACTTGTGCCTGGCTATGAGCATATAGTGCTGAAATCAAATTTAACGCTAGAGTTATGTTGTATTGTTAAAATACAAATCTTACAATTATGATAATACAGTATAAGGGAGGAATCAACTATGAAACTTTATAAAAAAGCTAAACAAAAGGTTTGACTTTTATGATTAACAAATGTTTACCGCAGAATAGAGGGATACACTTTTCCCGGATATATCCCTGCTTTCTATTCGCTCGTTATATAGAAAATGACATTCAACTCTCTCATTTCATTTCATTTCAAACCTTTATTTATTCAGGTTGTATCCCATTGAGATCATTGACCTCTTTTTCAAGGGAGACCTGCTCAAGTAGGTTCCACATGAAACATTAAAAACATAAACAGAACAACAAAAGGACATCATACAGTAGCATTACAGGGATTACAAATTACATACTATCCACATGCACAGGTACCAACAGCTTCCGATTCAGTAGCATCCAACCGAGCTTTAAAAACATTTAGTGGCACCAGATTGCTCAGTTTCCATTTTAATTGCAGACTATTCCAGGACAGTGGAGCTGCGCATCTAAATGCTATTTTCCCTAAGACAGTCCTAGCAGTTGGCACATTTAATAAAACCACAGCATGCGATCTCAGGCAGTAGCCCCTTACAATTCGCCGTGAGATCAGGGAGCAGATGTAGGATGGAAGTTTCCCTAACATGGCTTTATATATAAAAATGTACCAGTGACTGAGCCTCCGTACAGTTAGTGAAGGCAGACCAGCCCTTGCATACAGGGTACAGTGATGAGTTAATGCTTTACAGTTTGTCACAAATCTCAGTGCACTGTGATACGCAGCATCTAACTTGACCAGGCAATTGGCAGGTGCATTCATATACATCAGATCACCATAGTCCAGCACAGGTAAAAAGGTCACAGTGACTAGCCTTTTTCTGGCCTCGAGCGAGAAACAGGACTTGTTCCTGTAGAAGAAACCTAGTCTAACCCTCAGTTTTTTAAGCAGGTTATTGACATGACGTTTAAAAGTGAGACAATCATCAAGCCAGATACCAAGGTATTTGTAACAGGCAACCACTTCAAGTTTTATTCCTTGCGTAGTTAAAATATCTAAAACAGGCTCTGGTGTCTTTTTGGCTTTTGAAAAGAGCATTACCTTGGTTTTATCCACATTTAAAAGAAGCTTTAGTTCAGAGAGCTGAGTCTGAATAATGTTAAAAGCAGTTTGCAATTCAACAACAGCCTCCTTAATGGAGGGACATGCACAGTACATAACGGTATCGTCCGCATAAAAATGTTGGCAATTGTCAAGGTTAGCCATCAAAGTTCTACGGAAAACCAACACAACCATAAATCCATCCGGGACAGTACAATTAGTTTCTTATTTAATATTTGATTATTAAAAGACAAGATGTAGTAGGGATACAAAATAGAAATCATATGAAATGTGGATTTTTGTCCCCTAAAAATTCAAAAAACAATCCTGCACACTCTTTTAAGTTGCGATCTTTAACTCTCTTCCTAGTTTAATCGTCTTATCCTTGAAGCTGTTATCATCTCTGCCAATAAGAACTGAATAAATATGTTGGATATATTTGAATCTTTTTACATTTTATGATATATATTGATATGTATGATATAGATATATTTTGTATTTTGTTAGCTTCCTCTTTGCTTCTCTGATATACTACACAAACAGTTTTAAATGACATGTCAGCATGATCACTTTCTCTTTGATTCGTGCATATTCCCTAACCTTTCTCCGTTCCTCTTCCTTTGCTCTTCCTCTTCATGTGTCACAGGAGAGCAGTGCCCCGAGGGCCAACTGCAATAAGATGATAATGATGTTTACAGATGGCGGTGAGGATCGTGCTCAGGACATCTTTGAGAAGTACAACTGGCCCAACAAAACAGTGAGTCTCCCCCAAAAGGCTGTTATCTCCTCGTCTCCATCGCTCTGCCAGCCCGAGAGATCATGCATGTCCAAAAACTGTCTTAGGAGGCCCGTTCTCCCTCCCTTTCTCCCACCATATTCTGCTGACGTTGTCTCATTATAGCAGAGGCAGTTGTGTTGGTTAGCCTGTCCAACATGCCAAGCAGTCCAATCTGTGCACACAACATCCTCTCCAAGCTTTATTCTTGTCCATTTTGATTCAGTTTTTTCATCTCTTTGGCCTTTCTTCTACTCTCTCCTTCTGTCTGTTTCTCTTTCTTTCTCTCCTCTCATGTCTTTTGTCGTTTTGCTGCTGGTGTTAACAGCTCTGACCTGCTGACTAATTAGCCATTTTATCATCAGAGAGTACACAAATTACAGCCAATAGATACTGGCTTTCATCTTTCTTCCAGTCAGTCTTTCACGCCACCCGCTCCTCTCCCCACTTCACAGCCCCACAAATATGTATTCTTACATCCATTACTATCCAGTTCCCTCATGACGGCTGCTGTCACACAGAAAATAATCTGCAGTTTGACATCTCTTTCACTGCAGTCTAGAAACAGAAGCTTGTGTGAGTTGACTGGTAGGATAATCCAACAACTAAAGAGTAGGGAATGCATTGTAATTGTCACATGATGACAGTGACCTTATTGCCATCCATGAGGAGGTTTGAGTGGTATTGTTTTGCTCTATTAACTGTCTATGACTTTCCATTTGTCTTTTCTTCATCCAGGTACGTGTGTTCACCTTCTCTGTTGGCCAGCATAATTACGATGTAACCCCTTTGCAGTGGATAGCTTGTGCCAATAAAGGTATGTGCCGAAGAGTTGTTTATCAAAGCATGCTTGTATGTTATGAAATAAGAAATCATGTTGCTAGATGGTTGGTTGTTCCTTTCCACATTGCTTCTGATAGCAACTTTATATACAGTATAGACACATTTTTTCATCATACTCAACATCAATTTGATACTTCTGAGCAATACTGTAAACATGGTCAGGACTTCCTAACAATAACTTCCTTATGCACTTTGCAGCCTATATGCCTCAAACTTTAAAGCTCCACTAAAACAGCGTAAACACGCCTTTAATGTTTTGAATTCAATACTATATTACACTGACTCTTATGGAAAATGTGTAAACTGACAAATCATGATAATGCTACATTGTATACAAACAATTAGTGTTGAATTCAGCAGAAGGAAAGCTAGTTAACGTTAGCGGTTAGCAGCCAGTGTACTGAAGTTGTGTTGACTTGAATTATGATGCACTCAATCTCTATTCAGCAAAATAACTATTGGGCAAAGGTTAACGAACGATATGATAACCTGTTGTGTTCACTGTTCACTTAATATCTTGTCAATTTTTTGGGGGGAAAAACTTGGATAAATACAGTTGAAGGAGATCATTCCATAGTAACATAAAAAAGATAGAGAAGGAATTATGCCATGTTTCACTTCCTGACAAAAACAGTTTGCAAGGAGTGTATGTTGATAACAGGTCTCCAAGGTGAACAGCCTCTGGCATGTTAGATCAAGGTATGTGATGATGATTTTGTTCTTTATTGTGGTATTGAATTTGTATCGAGAATCATGGAAATGTACTGGTACTGCTATCAACCACTTATTTTCTGGTATCTTTACTTCCATACCTCCCTAAAACATTTACATCTTGCAACCAGAGAAGAGGAACAAAACACACTGCTTTTTTACTCAGAGGAAAGTTATCCTTTTTCAGCTCGTTTTCTTCTTCTAACATGTATTCTGTTAAAAATGAATAGTAATACGATAAAATAAAATATGAAAACCTACCTGACCCATTACAAACCCATCCTCATTTATCTAGGTGTGTTTGTTTTACTGCATGTGATGTTCAAATCAATATTTTATTAAACTAAAGCAGCCACAGTCCCTAAAATAACCCAGAAACAGGCAGCTCTGCCTCTGACAAACAGTCTGACAACTCGTGTGATTCAGCCGCTCTTCCTGTAAGCTGCTTTGTCTGCATGAATCTCATCTTGACTCATTCAATACCAACCTAACTCAGACTGATGTTGCTCAGTTCGGTACACAGTTCTTTTTCATAATCCATAACACACTTCTCTCCCTCTTTATTGTGGCTTGATTTAATATTGTTTCTCTGTGTTGCAATTTGTCTGAAGCTGCTCCTTTATGAGGCCTTTAGCTGTGTATAGGCAGCCTCTACCAATGGCCGCTGCTGATTAGCTTATTGCCGCAGAGCCAAGTGCTTCAGAAGTATCTTCCCAGAAGTTGTTATTAATTAGCGGGAGGAGTCTGGTAGCAGGGTGATTACTGTGCCATCTCCCTGTCAGGCTGGGGAAAGTCCAGGATTACGCCTCTGTGCCAACATGCTCTCTGCTGTTCACCACTGTAGTGATTACCATGGTAGTGAAGTCCATGCCAACATAAGACAATAGTGTTGACACATCAGCCTCAACGGAGCTGTCCTCTCATATCTTCACTACTTATTACTCTTTGGTATCTAACTCCAACAGAGCCAGCTCCCTGACACTTTCACAGGCCCAAACCCTTCACCCGGCACACACACACATTCGACAAACAGCAGACACACACACACACACACACACACACACACACACACACACACACACACACACACACACACACACACACACACACACACACACACACACACACACACACACAGTGTGTAGGACACTTGGACATGCTAGCTGTTGCCTCACTTGAGCTTCAATCTCATTTTAAGAAGAAACTAACCTCCTTGTGACTCGGAGGACAATGAAACAATTTCGTCATGCTCTCGCACAGAGTAACAAAATCCAAAATGAAAAGGAAGGGTTGGAAAAAGGTGAAATGGAGAATAAAATCAGCAAATAATATACACTGTTTTATAATGGAAAAACTGGATGTAGAGAGTAATGCATGTTGTCTACATAAGAGGAAAATGCATAATCACACTTGATACAGAATCAAGTACACTATACGTGTATACATTTCTGTTTTTTCAAATGTTTTAAACAGACACAAGTGACTTTATATACCTAAGGATGGCATTCCAACATTAGAGAGGTTTATGTAAATGAGTTTCGGAGAGAAAATGGCTTATTGATTAAATTCATAATTGTCCCTCACACAGCGGCCGTTTGTTGTTAACCTGCACAGCACAGAGGAGATCTACATTACCGTCTCCCTTTTTAGTTACCACCTATATTTTCCTCTCTACACATCTCACCGAGCTTTGCCCTACGCCCTCTCTCTCTGGCACGCTGCCAAAAGAAATGGGACAAACTGCTGCTTCATACAAAACTATAACAAATAGCTGTGCTCTGGATGTGTGTGTGTGTGTGTGTGTGTGTGTGTGTGTGTGTGTGTGTGTGTGTGTGTGTGTGTGTGTGTGTGTGTGTGTGTGTGTGTTGTGTGTGGTGTGTGTGGTGTGTGTGTGTGTGTGTGTGTGTGTGTGTGTGTGTGTGTGTGTGTGTGTGTGTGTGTGTGTGTGTGTGTGTGTGTGTGTGTGTGTGTGTGTGTGTGTGTGTGTGTGTGTGTGTGTGTGTGTGTGTGTGTGTGTGTGTGTCAGCATGCTCAAATGTGCAAATGAATGAGACAGAGAAAGCAAACCTCGACATAAACCACTGTGGCACAATGTATCAAAATAATGTGAGTCATCTCAGCCTTTTGACATTCTGGGTATGCTGTCTCCATTTTGCCGCTCTTTGTATAAACACTCATGGCTTTAATAACTTGGGGAGCGGCGTGGTTATTGACCCAGTCGGTCATTCTCCTCCATTCCTAATCAGCAGCAGCAGTGCCTGGGGTTCAGCATTTCCAATGAGCCTCTACATTTACATCCTACAGCGAAACCACAAGTGTGGAGAGGTCAACGGCCACCAGCTCTACCAGGCCTGCTGCGCCCAACACCATCAGCTGGAGATGATGGCGTTACGTGTACCTAATAACATGGAAGAGATTAGAGTCCAATCTACAAATGGATCGCTTTTGTACACACTGGCCATTTCTCAATGTCGAGTACACCTGCTGCAGAGCCACTATTTCAAGTATACTACGTCATCGAGTGGCGCCGAATGCTGGGCATTTAACAGTCCTTCGGCGCCACTCGATGACGTAGTATACTTGAAATAGTGGCTCTGCAGCAGGTTTACTCGACATTGAGAAATGGCCACTGTGACTGTTTAACCCTTGTAAATGTAGACAGAGTATGAAACAGGCAGGCACCATGATGCAGGCTGGATGCAAAGCATTCTGTTTGAATATTGTATTGATCTTCTCTTCTCTTGATCTCCAGGTTACTACTTTGAAATTCCATCCATTGGAGCCATCAGAATCAACACCCAGGTAAAGTGTATAGAGTGTACAAGATATTTAACACAACTTCATGAATCAACAAAACAACTAAGATGTTTAAGGTTTGTTAACACCCTCAATAGCATCAATGTAGCTGCAAATAAGATTTTACTATGTAAGGATTTCATGGAGTATTCTCAACGTGAGCAGAGAAGGAAATCACATATTTTAGTTTCTCTCTGCCTTCATGTACAGTTTGATCCCCCGTGCATGTGAGACTGTGTGTCTGTGTGTGGGTAGATAATAGACACTTCCTATTTGTTGACGGCTTGACGCAGATGCGGTCAAATCAAGAATGGATAATAAGACCTGGTTATGGCACTGCCACTAACCCTTATGCCAATTTGCCCAGTGGCCATTTGAGCTATCGCAGCAAAATCGCAGCAAAAATAGACATCAGTAAAACTGTTGACAGGACACCTCAAACTACAAACATGGTAAATGATGACTCTATATCTCTCGCCCCTGGTTAACACCGTCGCCGTTTTCACCGTTGCTAGCCGCCGACTCAGCCACTGCCATGTTTAGAGCCGTGTTAAAAACCTTAAAGCAAGAAGCTTGTCCATTCTTCCTTCACAGTTACTTTGATGATAATTATACAGATTGTAGATATGCTATGCTGACACACTCAGGGCCCTGACAACCCCCCCCCCCACACACACACACTCACACACATACACACACACTATTGCTTGAGGCTTTACGAGCTTCTTGAGGCCCTTGGAATAACCTCATTCCAGCTGTAGAAATTGACTCAGTTGCTGTGTGGTGGGGGGGCTACTGCACACCCCCCCCCCCCTCTCTCCCTTCCTTTTCCTCCCCCTCTAGCCGACCCAACCTCCCCCCCATCCCGGTGAGCGATCGGGCCCAAGAATATACTGTCAGCTGTTCCATTAACTCTGGCATATTTATATTCTGAGAACTGCCACTTACTTTAATAGGTTTTCTGAAGGTGGGTGACTACAGCTCTCTGTATAAGGCCCAGAAGACACATTATTTAATTGTACTCTGCCCTTCAACAGCACACACTCATCATACTGTACGGTCTCACTTGACGAAGATAGCAATGTTCAAATAACAGATGGCGCATAGACGGCAAAAGTATTATTATTCATTCCGTCCTGAGTCATGCAATGACTGGAATAGTTTTGAGAATAAAGCTCTTTATTCTATATATTTTTGTGCCTCTGCTTAATTATTTGAAATAGAAGTTTCAAGTGACTTATGTAATTCATTATTTCTTCTTTGTGCAGTAGTTCAGCAGAGCAACAACAACAGGCCAGGCCTTAGGATGTTTGTCTTTAAAGGGAACTGATGAGTTCCCTCTCTACGCTACCCAGGAAAACAGTAGCGTTTTATCAACACACAGGGATGCTGCTAGACTCTCACATATCTCCAGTTGCCGACTTTTTATGTTTCCTAGATTGTTCTAGCCAGGCGGAACATTTCCCCTATATCCCGTGAAAAGGTCTGGCTGTCATTGTCCTGATGGAATATCTCCCTGTGGCGCGTTAAACCTGACTTTTATTGAGCTAATAATAGAATAGGTTACGCCTGTCAGCACTTCACTGTTAAGGCGATGAAAAAACGGTCAAAAGCCTAACACAGAAATAGAAGCGTGCTGATAGAGGGTGCCCCTTTTGTGTATTGAGGGTAGATAAAAGGGTCAGAAGTCTGCTTTAATGTTTCCCTTTGAGCAGCAAAATGGGTGGAAATGTATCATGTGGAACAGGTTTTTAAAATGTGCATATGACTGCAACAGAGATGCTGCATTTCCATGCTGATTTTAGATTTGAATATACTGTGTGTTGATACATAAATTAATTGGCATAACTCACCGGGTACTGAATAGGTTACTGTGGAGGAATTCTGAGTTTTTGCAGACACATTCATTATAATGAGATAATAATGTTGCTGTCCGTAATAACAGGATACTGAAGGCTCCCGTCCCCGTCAGGCTTACCCCCCCCCCCCCCCCAAACTGCGCAGTAGCTTCATTTGTCATGAGGTCAATCACTCAATAATTTTACCAAATACACACCATGACAAGAATCAATAGGTTGTTTTCATAAAAGGCGTCTCAGCTGCTGTGAGAGTTGGAACTGAGAACAGGAGAATATAGTAAATATGATGTATTACTAGTAGACTTAACCCCTCACCTCTATCACAATAGCTGTGGGACATTCTCACAGTGCCGGCGATGACAGTAGAGCCTCTGGGAGAATGGCCTGTTTGCACGTCGTGCCACTGACACCCTTAATGTGTTTTTAATAGCTCCTTCATAATGATGAGAAACGGCCCTGAGTGGCTCTGGACTGCAGGCTTTATGGCTCCGCAGGACGGGGATGCTGCTGCTGGCGGCCCGCTGCTTTATGTGGTGACAGAGAGGAGGCCGGTCAGGGTCTTATAGTTTTATGACAGATGAACGTTGGCTTTTCCAGTTCTTTGCTTTTAACACCTCTACATGACAAGCACTATAAATGTTTGTTTGATGATACGTGTTTGTTATGTTTAGTCACACCAGCATGTGTGTTTTTGCTGTTGCAGGAGTACCTGGACGTCCTGGGCCGTCCTATGGTGCTGGCTGGGAATAAAGCGCAGCAGGTGCAATGGACCAACGTCTACCAGGATGTTCTGGTGAGGGAGGACTTCTAAAGATATTTCATTTCTAATTACTATTTTTTATAAATATTTCTAAATCTGTAAAAGTTTCTCATTTTATGGTTTATAACTAAGTCCATCTGCTACCTTTTAATTTGTAAATCACAAGCAATTGTTTATTTAAATGAAGTGATGCCCTTCAAAAATAAGTTTGATTGATCCTTTTTTTTTAAGGATAATATATGATAATGATAAAATCCTAAAGGTAGTTATGATGTCAGAAGAAAAGCATGCACATCCAGATAACAATTCTTAGGTGCTGGAATAGATGAACTTTACAAAAAATGAAAAATAGTCTGTACACAAAGAAATGCTCCCAATGAACATTTGTAACTGATGTTATGAGCATTAAGCTATTTTTTGACAAAGATCTTGGTGTCCCCACCTTTAATCCACTCGATTCTAACACATTTAAAATGTCATTACATTTATCTGCATCTTATTATGTTTGTTGTCTTGGTTTTTGGATTCTCAATTACACACCTAATAGAGATGTTATTAACCATAACAACATTTTAATTGGATTTCTAATATGTGTATCAGGGTTTGGGCCTAGTCATCACTGGGACGATGCCTGTCTTCAACCGCACTGTTGATACTGTGAGCCCTCAGGTAAAAACAACACTGCACTACAGGACATGGAACTTGCAACAGCTGGACTTTTTCACTCACACAGCAGACAGCAAGACCTCAGCTCATCCTTCATATGAATGAGCATTTACCTTAGTTACGATGTAAGAACAGTGTCTTTATTGTCAGTCATGTGGTGTAGACTACACAATAGGGTCATTCAAACAGAAAGACTAACGAGTGGAGCTTCAGGTTTTATTTTGCACTGTTGACCATCATCTGTCATTTGTAATGGCCTCCACCCAACTGCTGCACTTCTAGGCAACACCTCCCCCCTGAGGTGACAGCAGACATCACAGCCCCCCCATCAGTAGTATCTGTTATCATGCACAGATGCATCCAGCTTTCAGTATCCATGACCAAAGTATTTACTCTGGGATTATCACATAGACCTGAGGCTGTGAGGCCGCTGCAGTTTAACATCGACTGTACAAAATATAGACTAATCATATTGAGCACAAAGTGATGAGTCGTAGATGGCATGGAGATGTTTCTAGTACTCTCAGGGCACAGCTACTGGCTTTCCTATTCTCTCCAGTGCCAGGAAATGTCTAATGATTGTTCTTCCTACAGAACCAGCTCATCCTCGGAGTCATGGGAGTGGATATTGCAATCAATGAAATCAAAAGGAAGACGCCCACATACAGAGTAAGCATGTTGTACACTCAGTTCCACCCTATCACTCTCATATTGATGATCATCGGTTCACACCTTCTCGTCATTCTTCTTATGTGCAGCTTGGAGCTAACGGCTACACTTTTGCCATCGATCCCAATGGCTACGTTCTGCTGCATCCCAACCTGCGACCTAAAGTGCGTCCAACTACACACACATGCAATAACTTTACATTACTTCTGGTTTTGAATCAAGATTTGGGTGGGTTTTCTTCTGATGGCTGACGTTAAGCCCTCCCTCTCTCTTGTGCAGATCTTTGACTACAAGGAGCCCGTTACTTTGGACTTTCTAGATGCAGAGCTGGAGGACAGCAACAAGGAGGAGGTAAACAAATCGGAAACGTCATCATTATTCTTAAACGGTGTATTTCATATACATTTGATGTATCATTGTATAATTTGCTTTTTCCTTTGATGTACCTGTTTGCCTTGTCACACTGCAGCATCTCTCCCTCTCTCTCTGTACAGATCCGTCGACAGATGATTGATGGTAAATCCGGGCAAAGGAAAATCAAGACGCTCATTAAGTCAGTTGATGAGGCAAGTCATCAATACATGAGACTCAATCATTATCCAAAGTAGCACCTTCCTGAATGGCGTTGTAATGAACCTGAATGACTCAGTATGTTTGTGATCTGTTGTTTCCCTGAGGATGTGACGGTGTTACATATTTCTCTTTGTGGGTGTTAACAGAGGTACATTGATGAGGCCGTGCGGACGTACACGTGGACGCCTGTGAATGGTACAGATTACAGGTAGGTTTGATATCAGACATGCCCACACCTCGGACCAAAAAAGATTGTGCAACTTGAAAATGTGAGTGAAGTCCATTTTTGATACTTTTAAATGATCCAGTTTTCCTAATTACAGCTGTTACTTATCAGCCAGCAGTGTTTTTGAACTATAGCTGCCTCAGCTTAGAGCCGACTAAACATATCACTGAGTCAAGGCATAAATAAAGATTTCTATATTAGCATAAGATAATTCATTTGATTCCAACAAATGAAGGAGCATTTTTCTCTCTCTCCCATAAAACGTACAACAGTACTATAATCACAAATGAATTGCATAGTTTATTAATTTCCTAACTTGGTTTAACATTTGAGGTTGCATCGTAATGACATTTTCTCCAGGCAACACTTTTCAAATTACAGTTTATGATATTCAATAGTTCTACAAATGCCCGATGTGTGTTTTGTTATTATGTCTGCTGGCAGCGTGCCTGGTCCTGGCCGAGTCCATACGAGGCTTTCTCTGCACAATTATTTTTATTTCAACTCGAAGGGAAACTCCAGCAGTAACAGTGATCGTGTGTTACTGCTGTGATCTGCAACAGTCACATCTAACTGTAACCAGACGCTCACTGATGTCGGATGTCATGCATCATACATCCACATTTAGAGATTAGAGACTGTTGTAGCTCATAAAACTGATGACGATGGATGTTTCTTTAAATCTAAATTAGCTTTATATTATAGATAGTCGACTGTAGCCGTGGCTCAGTCTGAACCTGATACTGTCACAGCCTGATTTTCTATCTGTTCCAATTAATCCTCTTACTGGTTTATATTATATTTCTATGGCACCACAGATTAAAAGATGGGATTTCTATTTTCTCTTCCATCAATGTATTACTTTGGTGGAAGAGTCAATATTATTAAGCATATGTAGGTCAAACCATCAAGAGAAACCAATATTTCTCTTTTATTTTCATCCCCTAGAATGTATCACTTTGTTTTTAAAGAAAAACAGAATCAGAGATGTGTTGCAAATATTCAGCATGTTTGATACCGTACAGTGTGAACTCGCTCCAAGTGCAGAGTCTTTGCTTGTGAACTGATGGGCGCAGGCCGTCTCACAGCAGGCGGCATTGAGGACGTGCCGAGGCCCTTTCTGACCGTTTGATGTGAGCCTGTGTGGCCCTCGGCTTAAATTGGAGACTTTAACTTTGATGGAAAACTGCCTCTTCAGTAGTGGCTTCATTCTGCAATTTTGAGCAAAACATTTATTTTTCAGTTCAGACGCTACATATAACTTATAGCCCATTAATCTATACAGTGCTAACATGCATTGGGTTGTTTGTGGTTGTACAGTAAGTGTAGCTCTTTAACAAAGTCGTTTCCAGTCAGTTTCCTACCTCAAACATTTGGTAAAACTGATTTTTAAGAACATTGTAAGATCTGCCTTTAGAATATATATATTACATTGCAGGATTATAATTATTGATAAAATCACTTTAATGTTGGTAAAGGTAAAGCTAATACTGCAATTACTTTACATACTACCTAGTAGCGTAATCTATATTAATGTATAATCATTATGTATATATTCTATGAAAAGAAAGAAAACTTAAATTATCAAATAAATTCAGTGGATTAAATAAAGTACAATATTTAAAGCCTGTTTGTTGTGTAGTTGAAGAATAAAGTAGCAGAAATTGGGAATACTCAGTAAAGTATAAGTATTTTAAAATAGCTTTTAAGTACAGCACTTAGTAAATGTACTTACGTGTGTGTGTAAGTGAGCACGCCCGTGTGTGTGTTGGAGAGTTTATTTGTGCGTTCATAACGTGTGTCTGATTTTCTGCGTCTGCCTCGTCCCATCAGTCTAGGGTTGGTACTGCCCACATATAGTGAGAACCACATCAAGGCCAACCTGAGTGACCAGATCCTTCAGGTGCAGTGTAAGTACCCGGGATTACCCAGCATCCTTCACTCTCTTTCTCTCTCTCTCTCTCTCTCTCTCCACTCTTTCCTCCGTTCTCTCTCTCTCTCTCTCCCAAGTATGACCTTATTCTCTTATCCAGTCCTTTGTCCTGGGTCTCCAACCTCAACATAAGGAGTGTCCAAGCGGAGATACCTGCAGCGCTGCCCCCCCCCCTACTCCCCCCTCTGTGCGCTCTCTGATAGGCAGGATCTTACCTCAGCCCCCCGACTCCTCTACTGCCCCCTGTCCCCTCCTGTCTTCATGCTGTGCTGTAAAATGGTGATGTTTTTTCTTCACACTGGCTGAAGAAAAAAATAACTGAACGGACAGAAAGGTGAAAGCTGTGGTTTTACTGTGTTACTCAGGTGAAAATAATGGTGACTTCTGTGCTATTATTTTTTTTGCCAAATGCTCTCGCCTCTTCTCCACCAAGTAATGATTCTGAAGCATCTGTGTTCAAAGTATTTGACGTTCTGAAAAACTGTGAAAACACGCATGCTTTTCACTCCTTTTTTGATTTTGGGGAATTTTTCCTTCTGTTATGTGTGTTATTTATTCTTTTTTCTGTTAGATTGTGTGAGTTGTTTCCCGGCTTTGGAATCATTCAGTATATAAACTCCTACACGGCCCGGGATAAGGGCTTCCTAATGTGGGAGTTTGGGTTTTTGTGGGTCTGAATGGGGACACATGTTGTCTCTCTCATTCTTTGTCCAGACCCTGTTACTCCCCTCTTTTCCTGTTTTATTTGAATTTTCCTTTTTTTACGTTTGACCATAATTATTTATCACAATTACTGGTTTTGTCTTCAGTCTTTTTCTTTTCCTGGATTTCCCAGGTTCCCTTTCCTCTGTTGGTTTTCTGTTTCCTCGTTTGCTCTTGCAAATAAGATGTTTGCAATTCATTTCTTTTTTCTCTTGTCTTGTTTGACTTAAATTGGTTTCTTTCTTTCAAGAAAACAATATTTTTATTCAAACAGTAATTGAATAAAATATTGTCTGTGATCCCCCCTTCCCACCCGACCCCCTGTTTCTTTTCTTGCTCCTTCTCTGATGGATCCACACAGTGCCATACACCAAGGGCAAGTATACTCCATATTGGTCCACGTTCCCTTCCTTTACTTCCTACTCCCTACCGCTGCCTCCTTCCCACACCTCTCGTCCTTAACCTCTTCCTGCTGCCCCCCCCCCCCCCCCCTCCTCCTCCTTCCCTCACCTGTCCCAGCCTGCTTGCCTCTGTTCCTGCCCGTCTTGCCTTCAGGACTCCCTCCCCTCTTCCTCTTCTACCTCTTCCTCTTCCTCCTCTTCACCTTCTTGCTGCAGCTCAGATCCCACATCCCTCACGATGGCTCCTCTGGTCCTCACCCTCCTCCCCACCTATCCACTGCTCCAGAAGCAAAATAAAAACACCAAGGAAGACAGATATTCATGTTCTCTGTTAAAACTTGTCTTTTGTCCTCCCACATAATCCTTTTCCTTTTGTGGAAAGCTCCAAATGGGTCGTGTCTGCCCCCTTTCTCTCTCTCTCTTTCATCCACGATTTCTTTTCATTTTCTTTCGTCATATTTCTCTCTCTTCCTCATCTACCTTCATTTCTTTTTCACCTTCTTCTCTCTCGATTTCTCTCTCTCTCTCTCTGTGTCTTTTCTTACAGTGTCATTAATTAATAAATGTCTTTAATAGTTTTTACACTTGAGCTCAGGTTTTGACAGATCTTTAATTCGATTTTTATAATCTCCATTTTATTTGTGTAATAGCTAGACAGATTTTCAGTCAATCATTGTTTTGCAGTAACATTAAAATAATGTGGTAAGGTAAAAACAATCATCTTAAACATTGATATGAAATACTGCAACGCTACAACTTGGTTATAATATTGTATCTCCACATACCATGTAAGTACTGCTTTTTGATTATAGTAATAGTAATAAATAGTGATCTCTTGTGGTCATAATATTTTAATGTAGCTATACTTTATTGATCTCCATAATAAAGCTCTGTTAGCTGCCGTAGTCTGGTCTATAGCTGGAGTCGTTGCTGGCTGCAGAGCGACCCCCCCGGGCTGAGCCCACCCAGGTCCTCCCATGTTGTCAGGTGTCAGGGTGCCGCCTGGCTCCTGTGTCGTCCCTCTGTACTCCCTGTCTCCATCAGCTTGTCTCCCTCCCGCCTCACCCCTCAGACTGTCAGAGGATGGCCCAGCACTTCCTCAGTAAACCTGACCCCGGATGTGCATGGCATTGTGGGCGGAAAACTACCTGGGCACTCTATTTTAACTCTAAAATGTCATTCCTCTGCTGTACACAGTTACAGGTCTTGATAAATAAAAAAGTAACACGTTGGATTCGTTGCAGACTCACCTGTTGATGCTTTGTGCTCTGTTTTGTCTGTGACAGATGATAAGACGTTGCCCTTTGACATGCCCTTCACAATGCAATGCACTTCCTCTGATTATGTGTCTCTCTGAGCCCTCTCCCCTGCCAGTCTGAGGGGTGACCACTTCCATCAGGACCGTCACCCACCTCCCTTGCAATAGTTGGCCATGTTGATGCCTGCCTGATCTTAAAAGCACTCATTGTGGATAATCTGTCTGAGAACTTGCTTACCGACTCACCACGTCTCGCAAGTCAGTTCTCAGACATCCAAAAACATGTTAGATTGATGCTAAGTGAATCCGAAAACGTTTGTTGTCAAAGAGATGAACAAAAAGACAAAGAAGGTGTGAGTGCTTGTGAAAGTGAAGCTGTCGTCCATTGAGATTCAGGTTCTATTTTTGGCACCATATTGGCTAACGCTAGTGTTCCCATGATACCTCAGTGTTGCTATGGTAAACTCCTTTCTGCGTCCCTGCACCTCTGAAGAACAGCTGCTGTTTACCCACAACTCCCCACCGCCCTGCCCACCACTCTTCCTGGATAACTTTCCCCTTTCTGTTGCAGATTTTGAATCACTGCTGCCAAACAGTTTTGAGTCTGAAGGACATGTATTCATTGCTCCCAGGTAGCCCTGTGTGAACGCTTGCTGTCGTTGATGGTCATCAGTGTTTGGTCTTGACATGCACTTCATATTGTTTTGTTGTGAGCATTTTTCTAATCTATCATCTGCTTTCTCGTATTACGTCTTTTGTGATGTTGAGGTGCACTTTGTGGAAGTGGTTGTGATTCATTCATTCATTTTTTGGGTTGTGTTAACATCTAAAAACAATATACTTATACTATTTGTGTTATGGTTGCATTTACCCATTGTCTTCCCTGAGATAACCTCATTACACCAAGAATTTAAGCCACATTTCCCTTGCATGCTGCTTCTATGTTGTATGTTTTTTTTTACACATTTAAATGAAGGGGTTACTGGTTTGGTTGCACAAAAACTGTATGAAAAGAAGATTGAAATCCTATTGCTTGTGCTGTTTTAATATCAAATCCTCTTGGCCGACAGTTGCACCATGAATTCTGAACCACAGCGATACAAATCACTCTTTCATTGTGATGCCTGCACTCTGAACTCCAACACATATTTAGTTCTGATAGACAGCAATCTTATCATATTGAAAATGAAGCTTTAATATATGCATGCTGCACGTTATAGCATCAAGAAACTTGTTGGCGTTGTGCATCCCTGCTTTGTGTTGCCTGTCCCTCTATAAAGGACATAAAAGATATTGTGTAAATATTGCATACACGTATTTGTTTTTAGCTTCCTTCTCTGTGTTAAAATGCTTAATCTCTTCCTCAGGGAGTACTGCAATGATCTGGAACTGTCCAACAACAACACTGAGTTCCTGCTCAACTTCATTGCTCTCATGGAGAAGGTGACACCGGACTCCAAACAATGTAAGTTTCATTGACTTTATCTTTACTTACATGCATTTTATTGCTTTTAAATTATTGTAATTCTCAAGGCAAACTATAGTAAGCAAGGAGTTTATGCTACTATTAATGATTGTCTGGGTAGCCAAAGCTATTAAGATAACTTGATGTATATCAATGTTGCCACTATATGTCCCAACATCAAGCTTTTGCATAGACTTATGTCGATTAATTTGGTTGGGATTAAAGGTGGGGTAGGTAAATTTGAGAAACCGGCTCGAGATACACTTTAGTTATATTCCATGGAATGCTCTTAACATCCCGATAGCAATGAATATCGTAAGTGCTTTGACAAAAAATCCATAAAAAATGTCATCTGTGGAAGCCGTAGTACTGTAAAAAGCACGACCAATCATTTTAGCCGGCCCGGCTAAAATAACTGGATGGCCTACCTGCCTGTCAGCCTTCCATCTGTGCACACACTTATCTCGTGCCCTCATTGGTCATGTGCGCGTTCGTGTGTGTTGGAGGAGGGGCTCTGTAAGGAAGTGGCAGATTTGTTCCGGCTGTGTATTTTCAAATTCTAGTGCACTAGAGCTGGTTTCTCCAAAATTACCGACCCCACCTTTAAGAGGGTGTCTCCAATTTCGACAACCAAACTTGATATGTTTGTATTCACCTGAGTGTTTTATCATATTTTATATCCAGAAATCCTCTCTTCAATTGGTGCCGTCTTTATGGTTGAAATGTAATATCTTAAGGGAAGGGAAATCTACATCTGATGTGAATTCAACTGAAACTCTCACATCATCTTCCCCTCATCGTGTTTAGGTGACAATTTGCTCCTCCATAACCTGATTCTGGACACTGGCATCATCAGGCAGCTGGTTGAGAAAGTGTGGAAGAATAAAGACTTGAATACGTGAGTAGGATTAAGTAATTGCGTTTTTAGATTTGTCTCTAAATAGGATTTTGGTTTGATTTGCATCTCTTTTCATCATCCTGATATTTAGATATGGCTTCCTGGCTGTGTTTGCTGCATCAGATGGAGGAGTTACAAGAGTGTTCCCCAACAAGTAGGTGCACTCAGTACACCTGTTTTATTCCTCACTCTATTCGCTTCGAAAGCTGCAAGTTGTGAACCTTTAAGTATAGTGGGAGTCTTGTAATGTACAGATTTACAGCTCCAGTGTTTCTGCTCTTAAATCTCAGGGCTGCAGAAACCTGGGAGGAAGACCCCGAGCCGTTTAATGCCAGCTATTACCGGCGCAGTCTGGACAACAAGGGCTACATCTTCAGAGCGCCTTATCGAACAGGTGAGGGATGCTCTCAGTCTTGGGTTATATATCTCGCACCAAGGCTCATGTTGTGTGGTGGCCGTTTGAATCTAACGGCTTGTTTTTTCCTTTGTTACTGTCATGAAGCGCGGGACGAGCTGTTGAACCCGGAGAACGACACCATCGGGATCCTTGTGAGCACGGCTGTGGAGATCACAGTAGGAGGGAAGACCATCAAACCTGCAGGTGAGTTCAGCAAAAATAATAATATAATAGATGTGGAAGAAAGGGAGGCAGAGATAATTATACCGCGGTGTTTCTTGTCGCTTTGTATGGACATGTCCGCTCTTATTTTGTTGGGCCTTTTATTTTCGTATGTATTATTTTAGTTTTCATCTCTTTTTACTAACTTCTCTTTTCCTCAGTGGTCGGAGTGAAGCTGGACCTTGAAGCCTGGACGGACAAGTTTAAGATCCTTGCTAGCAACCATACAGACAACAATCAGGGCTCAAATACGGTAATGAAATATACCTTTTAAAGTTTCCTAAATAAACCAGTATTTCTCCGATTTGTAACTGTTACTAATTGTCTTTTCCCTGTGACAGTGTGGACCAAACAGAGGCTGTGAAATGGATTGCGAGGCCAACAGTGAGGTGAGTCAATCTGATAATTTGCTGATAAGCTTCCTGTATTCAGCTCGGTCTCCTCTATCAGAGCACTTTACATTATCTGCTGTGAATGAACAGCCTGTCTCTGCCCCTGTGTGCAGGATCTCCTGTGCTATTTAATAGATGACGGTGGATTCCTAATCATGTCTAATCAGAAGGAGGAATGGAACAAGGTAGACTTAAATCATGTATTCTCTCACACTGAACACTTTGCTCTTTATCTTTACACTGAGCTTGACTGGCGTGTCTTATTTCCCACAGGTGGGCATGTTCTTCAGTGATGTTGATCCCTACTTGATGTACGCGCTCTACAACAATTCCTTCTACAACCGCAAGCAGTCATATGACTACCAGTCTGTGTGTGAAGTAGTGTCCAAGACTCAAAATGGGGCTGCACCCAGAGGAGTGTTTGTGGTAAGGATATACACTTCCACACCATAAAGGATGAGATGTATCAACAACAAATGAGCTGATTAAATGCTTAAAATACACTGAATTAATGGCAATAGTGACACAGATGGATATTCTTTTTAATAGGGACTGGATTTGACTTGCTTATTGTTGCTACATTTTTCTCTTTTCCTTTGCATTTACAGCCCACAATTGCAGATTTTGTAAACGTGGCTTGGTGGACATCAGCAGCGGCATGGTGAGACTCCTCTAGCTTTAATGACAGTATCACACAGAACACACATACCGCACCTTAAGGAAATATTGAATGGATAGTAGACAACAGTGCTGTATTCACTAAAAAAAGAGTTTGCTGTTTCACTAAGCCCCGTCTCGTGTCTCCACAGGTCCTTGTTCCAACAGTTTATTTATGGACTGGCTTATCAGAGCTGGTTTGTCAGAGGTGGGTACAAACAACAGACATTTAATCACATGTTGGTGTTTTAAATGTCTGTATGAAAAGTTGAAAGCACTTAGCATTTCCAAGTGGTATTATCTGTCTATCTGTTTCCAAACAAATCAAACAATGGAGACGTTGATAACATATTTTCTGTCTGTTGGGGGCTTTGTTGTGAAAGGCTGTGTACGACCTGGCAGACAGGAATGCATTATGAAGCGACGTTAATAGGCAACCAAGCTAAATGCTGATGGTGTCATGATTCTTCAACCATTACAAAGTGCATTCAACATTTACCTCATAATGATAAGTTGAAGAAAATATGTTGTCAATGGCAATTTAAAGCAGTAAAATGACTTTTCTGTATTAGATTTCCTGTCAAGAGTTAGATAAGAATATCGGCACCATTCTTATTAAGCATGAAGCTAAAGACGGGAGAGTACTCACCCCTCAGCTCCTCTCAGCTCACTAATTAACACCTTTTACCTCATTGACAATCAGAAATATAATGACAACAATTTGCGGTTTGAGGGGATAATTATGGTATCAATCTATTCATCTCACTCGAGGGAAGAAAAGGAATAATTGCATTTTCCATTATGTTGAACTTTTTCTGACCACTCATGGAGTTATGAGACTTTAAAGTGCACTGACTAACATCAAATGATATAAGTGTCAGTATTTCAAGTGCACAGTGACATTAGTTTGTTATCAGCCTCTGTGCAAAAACTTTAAATCCAAACTATGTAAAGAAATGTTGAAGGAGAGAGGTTTTACAGCCTTTTCCAGGCAGAATGCAGGAATTCATTAATTAAAATCCCATGTTTGGAGTCAGCTCTTATAAATCAAGTGAACTGACAAGTGTGATGTGTCTGTGCTCTGGTGACGCTGCAGATGAGGTGGATGCAGAAGGAATGGACTCCACTCGGGTGCGCAGTTGTGTAATGATCCAGACGCAGTACTTCCTGAGTAATCTCAGCAGCTCCTACAACATACTGCAGGACTGTGGCAACTGCTCCAGGTCTGTACACATGACAGAATACACACATGTAAACACACATGCATGCGCTCACACACACACGTCAGAGTCGCACCGTGACAGATGCTCAGTTAGCAAGACGGATTCATCTTCCTGTCGGAGCTAATAAACTCTGCTGATGATTAAACCGCATCAGCTCTAATGAAACGGTCATATCATCGGCTAAATGAGCCTTACAAGACTGTCTCATGAATCTCGCTGATCCATTAGCAAATGAGGCTGTGATGTAAGCGAACAGAGGGGGGTAGTTACGTTGTCTCCCTTTTCTTTCCCTCTCTCTTTCTCTGCAGGCTGATTCATGCCAAGAGGATAAACAACACCAACTTGCTGTTTGTGGTCGCAGAGAAGATGCCATGCAACACCTGCGAGATAGAGAAGCTGTCCCAGGAGGAGGAGGAGTGTATCCTTTTTCACATTGTACACCAGCTGGTAGAGAATAAGACTCTAGATTCTATCTCCTTATTACCATACCTGTGGACACGCAGATGTGTCACGTTTCTTTTCAAGGTTATTTTTGTCATGATGGTGTGAAATATAACCAGTCGTTTAACATTTAGCATCTGCACGACTGCCTGAGGACTCTTGAGTGTGTGTGAAAGAGGAAACATTGCAGAAAGAAAATTACATTTAAATGATTTTACTTTTCCTTAATCAAGTCCATTTTCAGTCAAAGACGAAGATCCATGTTTGACTGTGGCGCGCTATCGAAAAGGACCCGGCACCTGCTTTGACAATAACCTCACTGTAAGATTTTCTGACACAATATCATGAGCACTTTTATTTAAATGTTATAGTTTATCCACTTTCAGCCAAATCGTTTTGCGATGACTTGATCTCACATCCTGTCTTAATGATTCTGAGCAAGCTGTGAAAAGTTTGACTTAAACACAGAAAGGTCAAAAACAGTGAAACACAGTTTAGACTTTGAAAATCAAACTTTTTTATTGGAATTATCATTAGAAATGAAGTGATATATTGTGTACTGAAAAACCCTTTAAAGTCAAGATGAATCAATTCAGCTGTAACCCTTAACCCTACACACAAAACAGTTTGAGAACGGGCATACAATTAAGAATTTACATTAAAGATTTTTAACAACTGTAACTCCTTGGGTGTTTCTCAATCACGAGTACGCTTGCTTGGTAGCACATGTCTGCCGAGCATCTTGCTTCAGAAGCGAGGCAATAATACTTCCTGGCATTCGGAAAACAAAGAGTGGAACAGGCTAGCAAGTGTGCAGGTGTGCGTCATATGAGAGGCCCCGCCTTACATTTTCCGTCACAGATTTGGGGAAATTGGTCCGTGCGCAAAGCATTGTGGGGATTTTAAGACCGCGGAGTCTACTCATGTGCAGCCTCGATATTTCTCCAAACGGAGTACGCCGGGCTCGGTAGATTTCCAAGTATTCTGGAGATTGGAACAGTACTTCGGCGGCACTCGATGACGTAGTATGCTTGAAATAGTGGCTCTGAAGCAGCTTTACTCGCGATTGAGAAACACCCCTAGTCTTTAAGGGAATAATCTGACCTTTAGGGAAACAGGCTTGGATGGTTTCTTGAAGATTGATACCACTGTGGAGGCTAACAGCAAGAGTCACTAGTCCGAGCAAAGTACAGGCAATGTCCAAAATCACTTCCTATTATCTGTATGTATCACCGTGTAGCGCCCCCACGTGTTTATCAGTGGAATGGACCCCTGCTTGTTGTAGCTTCATATTTAATGGACAGACACGAGGGGAATCAATCTTCTCATCTAACTCTTTGCAAGAAAGAAAATAAATGTCTTTATAGAGGATATAAACTAAGAATTAAGTGAGAGGACATGTCCACTTTCCTCCTAGCAGTTTAACATAAAGGGTTAGCTTATAAGACACAAACACAACAAAACAAATAGTTCAACATATGGTGAATGAGTGCTTCCTGACTCATTATACAAATGAAGTAGTTAAATAACAATGCACAAGGAATAAATATCTGTCTTGTAGATGTGTCCTCACAGCTTGAGTCTTTTCTCTGCAGGAGAACACATCAGACTGTGGGCGAGGCCACTCCTTCCGCCCCTCCCTCTACACCTTACTGCTCATCCAGCTGCTCCTGCTCTATCCGGCCGTCAGCCCCCACTTTCACTCTCTACTACATTAATTCCATTTTCCTCCACGTATCTTCTTTTAGCCTTCCTGACCCAAAACCCTCCAACCCCACCTCCCACCTCCATGCCCCTATTCCCCGCCCCCCTTATATAGTCATAGGTAATAAAGGGACTTCCCTTCACAGCAAGTTGGAAGCCCTGAGTGCCGCGCTACCCAGCTCGCTTCAGTCCTTGTTGCTTAGTGACAACTGCCGGACGTTTGTGTACTCAGCCAGTTAACCTTCATCTGCAGGAGGAGCGGGTGGTGCTGCATCACCTGGATCCTCAGAGGCAACGTCAGAAAACAGAAAACATCACCCCCTTTATCGAGAGAAGGGAGGGTAAAGAGGACAGGCCGATGTCCTCGTCTCAGACCCCCCCGCCTCACACAGACTGAGGAGTAGAGGTCCTCTTCGCCTCTGTCCGTCAGACAGAAGGCGGGACTACTTCTTCTTCTCCTCCATCTCAGAGTTTTGTCGCTCTGTCAACTGCCTCTCGTAGGCTGTGGACCATCAGCCAGTTATAGCCGCCACCATAAAAGAAAATAACATTAAAAAAAAAAAAACTCAAGTATACAACATGTCAAGTATAAGCCGCTGAAGTGATGAGTATTCCAAGCATACAGTGTATTTAGGTTTTAATTTGAAAAGGAAGTCGTTAAGGTGTTTATTTCAAAAGACATTAATTATTTTATGCACTATATCTACTTGCCAAAATTAGATAAACTTTCATGTGGTCTTGTTTTTTTATAGCCAAAACATGAGGAGGAAATGGTTTCCAATTCTAGGTTTAGGAAAAACTATGAGAGGAGACACTGAATGCTGATTCATTTTGTGCAGCTTCTAATTACAGATTATTTCTCGTAAAAGACGTCCACTGGGGATTATTGTAATTACATGATGGTAATCGCATTTCTTCAAGTATTTTTCCTCATATTTACTATTTGAGGCTAGTGCTATCTGGCTTATTATAACACTAGTGACAGCTGTGAAATATGAATCAGTGTTTGCTCACTTCAGTGTCGTGTATTATTCTCCTTTACGATCAATCGACCATTCTGACCTCTGGTTTTGGACGGATGTTAAAAAAAGAAAAAAAAAAGAAATCCCTGTGCTCTCAGAAGCAAAAGCTCACCTCTGCCAATATTAATGAGGCTTTTCCAGTGACCTTTATTAACTCTCCTCATCACAATTATACATGTGCTTTACTTCTGGTCAACCGACACACTGAGATCTCTGCCTCATGACCGTCTCATATAGTCCTGGTTAGGGTTTTCTTTTTACCTTTGACTGATGCTGTTCCAACTTCAAAACCATTCGCTGCTGGGGGATAGGGGCTTATCAACATTTCCAACTAAAGTGCAGAAAAAGGCAACTAAATATGGTGATCATGTAAAGTAGTAGTCTGGTTGTAATCCGTGGCAGTAAATCATTTGATCATTACGATGTTTAGGAGCCGCTCTGTTTCATAGTGCCTTGATGCACTTTGTTTTTGGACCACATGGGCTGTATACGAGTAGAGCTACTGTATAGTACCTTTATAGAGCAGCCATGTGTGAGGCTTTGGATGTGAGACTGAATCTGTTGGCTATAGAAAAAGCTTTACACATAGCCATCACACTGACTAGCTCTAGCTTAATGTATTTGCCCTCTCGGCCCCCTGACTGCCATCATATGGAGTTACTATACCGTTCCTTTACCAAGCCGTGTATAGAGCTATGATACACTATCAGTACACAGCGACTTTACTGGCCATAGAGCGTTCTTAGGGCCACCTGACTGCTATCGTTCTGCCTGAATCGTGTGTGGATGTGTTTGTTTTCGTTAAAACCCTCAAAGGGAATGTCATTATAAATGAGTTGTGGAGTGTGTGAGGGATGACAGTTGTGGTAGCATAACTGTTTGTTTTTTTCCTGGTCCTGTGTTGCAACAGAAATCCAATGTTGTTGTGGTGGGGGAGAAAAAAAAAGGGATTTTACTGAAACTAAAATAATTCATCTTTAACCATTACTCTGCCTAAATGTTAATCTGAGGGAGCCGAGGTGTCTGAAAGAATGTGTAGTTCATCAGTGTGTCTGCTTCAAATGCAACATAGCTAACAAAGCCTCTCAAAATGCCTTAGTGTTACACAGTACAGAGCTCTGATACGTTTCCCTCCCTCATGTACACTCACACAAAAAGATCCTCCAAAAATATTCACTCCCCGGGTTTTCTTGGTGTTCTGCAGTAAGTATAGTGAGCTCTTAATTTGTATTATCGCGTCTTTGATGATTCGTTATTGATTGATGCCTGTTTTTTTATTAAATGCTTGAAAGCCAGGTGGGAGTTTTCCATTTCAAAAAGCCTCCGACCTTCGATGTTCACACCCACCCAAACCTCACTGTATCGCTCAGATGGGACGATTCACAATTTGAACTTAACCACACACTCTGTACAGTTGTTGGTACTATTTGATGTGACAAACATGCTGGCAGAGAAACTGCAGCGCGGCTCCAAAAACGAATCTAAAAAAAACAAAACAAGAGACTGTTAAAAGATTATTGTATTTTCAATTTGGCAGTGTTGATAACCGGATGCAGTTTGACTTTTTTGGCATTTGTTTGTCTCTGTCCTGTGCCATTGAATCCTGTCTGTATTTCCACTGTCTGTAAATGAGCGCTACACGTGCCTGTGGAAATGTACCCCCTGCAACTTCCTCTCTTTTCCTGGCCCTTGTACGCTTACAGTCCTCACACATAATCTGAATATGTAGGCCTACAGTTTTTTTGCACCTGCACCAAGACATTATGCACAACACACCTACGAGCAAACATGTAATGATGACACTTATTCATGCCCAGCTGGGAGATGTCAAGCACCAGGCAGAAGTAAGCCAAGGACGTCACTTCCCAGGTGTGTTTTTTTGAGAGCGGGTGAAATGTCAGAGGCAAGCTCAGGGAGTGGGTCTCCACAGAGCAGCCGTCGGACTGAAGGTCAGAGAGGAATCCTGTAGTGATGTCTGTGTGTGCATCCCAACGAGGGAAACGTCTTCTGAAGGGAACACGCGACTGATTTCTGTGGTTTGACAAATTTACTTTTGCCAAAATATAAAATAAAAATATAAAATTGGACCAGCTTGGGGATGATGAAAGGGAGGGGGTCTGCTTTAGGACTCAACCCTAAATTAAGTAGGGGATGGTTTTCATAAAGCCTCTTGCCCCCCTCCCGACCCTCGCTGCATCTGTGTTGGTGCGTCTCTGTGGGAAAGACACAGTGTGTATGTGATTCTGTAGTCTGTAGTCTGGTGCTATGTGACCATGTTTGACAAGTGTGTAAAAAAATGACAGCAACATTTAGAGTAAAAAAGTCAAATTTTAAGTGAAGTTATAAAAAATATAGGAATACAGCACTGTTGATAAGTTTGAGATCTGAAGTAAAAAATGTATTGAATTTAGTTTAATTTTCTTGTACGTGTGTGAGTGTGAATGTTGGTGTGTGTGGATGATTTAGCTCCTTCTTTTCTGGGCACCGGTCCATGTCGCTCCATTCTTTTGTACAGATGAAGCTAAAAAAAAAAAAGATAAAAAGAAGAGGGCAACATTTGTAAAATATTGTGTCTGTGACTCCTTGTAAAATATTTTCAAATTGTTTATTACAGAGAATCAGTTATTAAATAATGTTCATATTTTTCACTTCATTTCAGCGTGTGGTGTTTGTTTTTTCAGTCGAGACAGGTTAAGAATTGTTCATTTACCAGTTACATAGGAAATATAAAGTGTATTTTTTATAAGATAAGTGCATAATTGTAGCTTTACCATGATATACAGTATTAGCTAAAAGGGAAACACTTAGTGACAACTATCACTACTTATGTCTGTATGCTAAATATGATTTAAGCTAATCAAGCTTTGTTTAGCATAGCACAAAGAGTGAAGAAGCTATACTCTAAAACATGCTTGATTAATCTTTTTCACAATCTGGTAGATTGATTTTATTTACTTTTAGAAAGAGCCAGGATGGTTGTTTGCACGTCTGTCAAGTCTCCCTGCTAAGCTAAGTGAGTCGGCTGTTTGAGTTTACTTCAAATGTAGCCTATCAATCGTCTCATTTAACTCTGGGCTAAAAAGTGAATAAGCATATTTAATTCTTGGCACTATTTAAAAACTCTAAATCAGGTTGTGCAGGACGTCTGTGGCCTACATTTCTGATTAATTCATATCGAGGAATATTTGTGCAGCTCCTAAGTTAATGTGTGATTGTTGAGCTTCTCTCCACTGAAGCACAGCGAGGGGTTCACAGCGTCTTCAGGAAGTCGGTGAGAGCTTTGTGCCAAGTGTCCGGGTCGTCCATGTAACAGGGGTGACCCGCCCCTTTCATCACCACCACGCTGTGATTGGCTAGGTTCCTCAGGTTGCTTAGAGACACTTCTCCAAGCTGAGCATCCTGGTCCCCGTAAACGATCAGTGATGGGACCTGAAGGAGAGATGGGACACAAAACCTGGGTGATAAATACTTCTAAAATGTCCATAGTCTTGTTTGTTTTTTGTAAGCCCCTTGCTAATAGGATTGTGTAGATGTCCTCTATTTGACCTCAACCACTGTTTAAACCACCAGAATACTTTATCTGAAGTGTTTGTCAAATGGTCGTACAGCTTGGAAAAAAAAGTCACTCTTTATGAAACAAGCTTTGTCATTTTAGGGTTTCATCTCTCTATTTTTGGGTTTGCTGCGCTGAGTAAGCCTTTGTCCTATCTTATTTTGGGATGTGTGCTAATGATCCACGTTCCATCGATTAGATAAAAAACAACTTTTACCTCCTGATAACGTCTGGCATCAGATTTAAAATGCCAAGCTTCAGAAAAGTTGATAACTTTAATAATGTTTCAAATAGTCATTTTGTTAACAATTTGCATTTCAGACTTTAAACCAGGATAACCCTAAAAGTAAACGTACTCATTGTACAGAAATTGTATAACTTTGCTGTAATTACTGATGCCTTGATGTTTTAGTAAAGTTGAAGTAATGTCTCTCCCTGCTGAAGTCATCCTGTAAAGTTACTTTTTACATTTCACTACTTGCTTTTATTAATTTGGTTTATTAACAGTTTTTAATGCTTTTGATATCAACATCTCACTCACATGATATCATGTCACTGCATTAAGTAGCCATGATGCTCTCACTCTTTTTGCATTTACTCAGACATGTTCGTCATTGCAGGGGAACTACTTTTGAGTAACTAATACGTCTCCTTCATGGATAATGCAGCTTCACTTGGTTTGCCATCTCAGAAATTGAATTTTGTAATAGTTGAGAGCTGGATGAAAGACAGTGTGAAAGTCACATGATATCTGCTCCTCTCATGGTCGCATGTAAAAGGGAAGAAGGTTGTGCTGGAAAACGGGGTTGACATTCACGGTTGCTCAAGTTAAGAGGAAAGGAGAAACAGAAAACGTTTTTTTAAAGGAAGGAAACTTCAAAGGAATCTAAATAATAACCTCACACACACTGTACCTTTACACTCTGGTACTGCTCTGCTGTGAATTTGTCGGTGCAGATGGGAGCCACGGGGACGTAGGCTCGGATCAGAGCCTGGTGCTGCATGAGGAAAGGCAGGGAGTACATCCCGCTGAGCGAAGGGCTGATCACCACCACCGGGCTGAGGCTCAGCTGCTCACACACTTCTCTCAGGAACCCTGCAGGGGCCAATTCTCCAACCGCTGCCGGGGCCTCGGCTGACTTAGAGCGGCCGAGTCCTGCGAACAGAGAGGGAGGAAGCAGACTAATTAAGGCGTGAGAGAAGAACAAGGCCAGGTTTCACATTTATTTGGTACCAGAAGATTTTGTGTAAAGGTTTTTAAACTGATAGATGTGGAGGCAGAGACATGAGGCACATATACTACATGAGGGTGAAGGGTACATGTGCATTTTAAAAACACACACAGCTCACAGGCTCAATTTAGGAACTGGAACAATATTTATGTCTGGGTTTAGAAAACACCTTAAATACACTTTTTAGATGAACCTTGGCATTTAGTCTAGTTAATATGGTTTAGTTTTAACTGAAGTTTTCAATTATCCTATTATGATTTTTTAACACAATTGTTTTTTTACAGAATACAACTTTTATTCAAAATTGTGATCATTTAAGTTTATTTTTATTTGAGTGTTTTAATCAAAACTGAGGGAGAATCCTGATAGGCCTTTAAGGCTTATTGCTTTGGGGCCATCAGACTGACCTGGCAGGTCGATGGCGACCGCGCGGCAGCCTGCTCTGGCCAGAGTCTCCAGAGTGCCGATGTTGAGCCAGTTCTCTGAAGAGAAACGGATGCCGTGAAGGAGTAAAACTGACATCCTCACTTCCCCTGCGGCAGGTTCACTCTGTCTGTAGAAGAGCGGCGCTTTGCAGCTCTCCACCTGCACACTCCCCTCTGTCATCCTCACAGCTGACATCCTGAAGAGAAAAGCAGCAGAAAACCATCGGTTCACCTCAAACTGGTAGACTGGTATTATTATAGTGTGGTAAAGCAAAAGTACATAAGAATTAGCATCACAAAATACTCAATAGAGAGGCGAAGTCCCGCCCTTCTACTTCCGCCCCATGGGACCTTATTTCGGAAAAAGTATGTATTGAAGTCAATGAAGAGAGAAAACGTATCTTTCGATCCCGTTTGAATTGTGCCATGAATTACACATATGATGTTTGTCAATCTTAAAGGTCCCATGTCATGCTTTTCCGGGTTATTACCCGTCCCCTTGTGTGTTATCCACACAGCAGTGTTAACAAATCTTGGAACGCTTCTGCCCATTCACTTTGAATGGGGTGACGTCACTTTGCCTCACTTTTCGCAGAACTGCATTGTGGGCAGCAGAGCGGAGATTTTCAGGATTTTCAGGATTCAAAGTTGAGCAATGTTCAACTTTTGAAGCTGAGGTGGAAGCGTCAGCCAATCAAATCCCGTGTATGCAAATCTGACAGTTCAAGCGCGAGCCAATCAAACCACGTGTATGCTGGGAGAGACATACCGCAGGTCATTTCCTCATATTCCAAAAAATGGAGGAGAAATTAGCGGTAGGGAATCACCCGGTGCTTTATGACCAGTCCCTATTTACCTACCGGGATATAAACCGGAGGAGCCAGGCATGGAGGGAGGTGGCAGAGACAGTGGTAGGTTTTCGCCTGTTTGGGGAGTTTATATCCAGTTTACTTCGGGCTTTTTTGCTTCGTATGTCGGGGGCGGGAGATTCATGTGATTGGTTGTTGGTGCCTTGCTCGCAAAAAATCCCCAAGCTTCAGATACGCCCACCTCCAAGATTTTTTTAACGGAGAAGACCTCTCTAAAACGCCTCGTTGGAGATTTCTCATGTTCTTCCTGGGCATCGTGACGTCTGGATACCCAGTAGCCACGCCCAGAGCTATGACGCGATACGGTCATGCAGTACCCGGAACCAAATGGACCAATCCGTGGAGCCGTTACGTTACGTCCGCAGAGCCGTTACGTTAAGCCCCCGCTGATTGGTCCAAATTGACCAATCCACGGACTTCCTCACACAAACACTCGGTGCAGGCAGCTCTGCTGATTTCTCCTCCCTGGCTGCAGGCTGATAACAGACAGTTGGGATTGCGGCAAAATTCTCTCTGCAGACCCATTCTCACAGCGTTTATCAACCTTTTTCTTACTCAATATCAAGCCACACTTATTGTAGGGATGCCAGAAACTGACCATGATCAAAATCGAAAATCGGACAGCCCTGGCGAATATTAATCGATTATTCGAGCCGTTAAAGGCAGAGAGTGAAATTCACACAGTACAAATTCGTAGTTTACAGAGATGCTGTATGAGAAACCAATGTGAGTTTGGAAAATTGCACAATATATATTTATTCTAGTAGACCTCAACAGTGGAATTATGATCAGTGGAAATGGCCATGACATGGGACCTTTAAAAAATAATTTCCATGTCAAAAAAGTCAGAGTTTGTCGTAAAACTGTTGAAATTTAAGACTATGAAAAATACGCAACTAGAAAAACTACAAATCCCAGAGTCGCGTAAGTGATGTCATAATTGTTTTCCTCCACTAAATATAAGAGATAGCTAAGATAACTTTAACAATATGCCTGTGTGCTTTGTACCAGGCTGTAATCATACCAGCAATGGGTCTTACTCGTTCTTTCTCTTCCCGTCTGATGAAAGGACCAGGCTGGATCAAGTTAGCTACCTAGCTAGTAGCAAATCAAATCAAATCAAGTTTTATTTATAAAGCACATTTAAAAGCGATTTTTGGTCGAGCCAAAGTGCTGTACATGTAATAAAAACACATTACTACAATCACAATAAAAGACAATAAATTACAACAGATATATAAAAAACACAGGGAAGAATCAGGAGTCGTGCTCCGTTCTGACTAGAAGGCCAGGGAGAAGAAGTGTGTCTTAAGAGTAGATTTAAAAACCCCTAGGGTCTGGGCCGACCTCACATGGAGGGGCAGAGTGTTCCAGAGCCTAGGGCCAGCTGCTGCGAAGGCTCGGTGCCTTCGGGTTTTAAGCCTGGTCTTGGGCACTATCAGCAACAGCTGGTCAGCAGACCTTAAAGCTCTGGCTGGGGTGTAGCGCTGGAGGAGTTCAGCTATATAGGCCGGAGCCAGCCCATTTAGGGCTTTAAAAACAAATAAAAAGATTTTAAAATCAATTCGGAACCGAACTGGAAGCCAGAGGCCAGAATTGGGGTGATGTGGTCACGCTTTTTGTGGCCAGTCAGAAGACGTGCAGCTGCGTTTTGGACTAGCTGCAGGCGTTTAATTGAGGTCTGGTCCATACCCACGTATAGAGCATTGCAGTAATCCAGTCTCGAGGTTACAAAGGCGTTAATAACCCTTTCTAAGTCTTTAAAAGATAAATACGACTTGGTTTTGGCCAATAGTCTTATTTTAAAAAAGCAGGATTTGACTACGGTGCGGACCTGCTTGTCGAATTTAAAAGTGATAGTGAAGGTCACTCCAAGGTTCATGACAGAGGGGAGGATGTTTTTATTGATGGAGCCCAGAATATCAACCGGAGAGGCTGGAGGTTGGGGTCCAAAAGAGATGACCTCTGTCTTGCTCTCGTTGAGGTTGAGAAAGGTTTTGCTCAGCCAGGATTTTATCTCTATCAAGCAGTCCATCAACTGCTGTAGTGAGTGTTTGACATTTGCTTTGAGGGGCAGATAGATCTGTACATCGTCGGCGTAGCAGTGGAAGGGAATATTGTGTTTTGTGAGAATTGAACCTAGGGGCAGTATGTACAGTAAAAAGAGGATGGGTCCCAGAATAGAGCCTTGGGGAACCCCACAGGTAAGAGGGGCTTTGGCAGAGGAGAAGGCACCTAGCTGCACTGAGAAGCTACGGTCTGTCAGGTAGGACCTGAACCATGCAAGGGCAGAGCCTGTGATGCCAGCGGACTGTTCAAGCTGTGACAACAGGATACTATGGTCCACAGTGTCAAAGGCAGCTGTCAGGTCTAACAGCACCAGGACAGCTGGGCTAGTGCTACCTGAGTCGGCGGCTTGGAGCAGATCATTAAAAACTCTTAAAAGGGCTGTTTCAGTACTGTGCATGGGTTTGAAGCCAGACTGAAACTTTTCATGGATTCCATGCGTGGTTAAGAACGACTGTAGCTGGACATAGACTACTCGCTCCAGGGCTTTAGATAAAAAAGGTAGCTGGGAGATGGGCCTAAAATTTGCGAGAATGGAGGGGTCGAGATTTTTCTTTTTAAGTAGTGGCTTGACCACGGCATGTTTGAAGGCAGCTGGGACACATCCTGAGCTAAGAGAGGTGTTTATAAGTAATAATATACTTGCTCGAAAACATCTCTGAGAAGGCGAGAGGGAATGCTGTCTGAGGTGCAGTTTGTCGGCCGCAGGTGCTTGACTACATCCGAGAGAGAAGAGAGGGATACAGGCTCAAAGTGGTCGAGGACAGCAGGGCACAGAAAAGGAGCAGGATCTGGGGTAGCACTAGTGTGGGCTAGCCTAAGCGCAGATACTTTTTCAATAAAAAATGTAAGAAACTTATCACAGAGAGTCGGTGATGGCACAATTGAAGAAACATCACAGGGATTAATGATCGAGTTGAGGACATTAAAAAGAACCTGAGGTTTATGGCTGTTTTTGGAGATTAACAGAGCTCCGTTTTGGCTGCTTTGACTGCCGTCTGGTAGTCGGAAAGGCAAGCACGAAGGATTTCTAGGGAGACACTAGCCTCGTCTCAATACCCCTCCTCGACTCCTCCTTTCCCTCACTCGCGTCCCTTCCTTGCGTCTTAGCTCCGCCTCCGTAAGATGCGAGCGAGAGACACGAGGAGGTGACGCGAGGACAGAGGAGTCCTCAGGTATTAATTGGGATGTCCTCATTCACTCAAACGTCACTCTTAAACGACGTCTGTTAATGATGACATGTGCACAGCTCTCATCGGGCTTAACTGAATAACCTTTAGAACCGGCCCATTTGTTGTTAAATATGTATTTAAATGATGAATCTTTCTCTTGTTAGTCAAGGAATTCAATGTATGATGGTTGGTCCTGCTTTTGTGTTCCGTTTTGGTGTAAAATGTACATTTCAATAAAATTATAATTATAATAATGTGAAAGCCTTTACTCTGAACATGTGTGTCCTGTAGATCCCCACATTCACCACAAACCCACATTCAGGACTGTGCATTTTAAATAATTTAACTACTCAATATTTTAACACAAAACAAAACAAATAATTGTTATTTATCAAGATCTAGCCATTTATGAAATAGCTTTCTTAATAGCTATGTTTTAGTGACGTTCAAGATCATTAAACATGACTTAAATTGTTAGTATAACCTTAAGAAATGAATTGCACATAATAATTCCCACGGAGCTGTGAGCACTTATACATTTATGTGACGCTTTTCCACTCATTCTTCCAGTTCTCCGTTTTCCTCTCTTGAAATCGACCAGCTGTGAAGGTGGGGGCGGGGCTTTTATACGCGAGTAGTGAAAACACTTCCGCGTAGTCTGCTCTCGTGTATCCTCCCTTTCGTCTCCTCCCGCACCCCTCCTCCCTCACCCCTCCTTGACTCCTCCGTGTGCATTTCAGCTATTGGGACGTCCTTCAACATGGCGTGTCTTGATCGATTTCCGGGTCAAGTCCCGGAGGAGGGGAAGAGAGGAGTCGAGGAGGGGTATTGAGACGAGCCTACAGAGTTTATCCTTTTTCCATTTTCTCTCTGCACGCCTGCAAGCGCGTCTGAGAGCATGAGTACAGTCATTGAGCCACGGTTCTGAGAGAACTTTGGTGTGTCTAAGCATAAAAGGAGCAACAGAATCCAGTATTAGGGTACATGTCGAGTCAAACATGGAGATAAGCTCATCAGCACTAAAAGCACAGTTCACCTCTAATTTACAGATCGGAGAAGCATTAAAAACATCAGAAAACTGTGGGGTTAATCGAACGCAGACGACGCGCAGGGGCACGTGATTCGACTCCTGCAGAAGGGATCGAGGTTGTAAACAGAACCGGTAAATGGTCTGAGATACGCGTTGCTGCACAGATTTCATCCACAGATACAGACAGTCCAAACGATAATACTAAGTCCAAAGTGTGTCCTTTTTCGTGTGTTGGGCCAGCCACGGACTGAACGAGACCAAAAGAATCAAGGAGATTTAAAAAGTCCCTAACCAGAGGTTTGGACTCGCAACACACATGGACATTGAAGTCTCCGGAGATCAAAACACGATCATATTTCACCATGATCCCGGACAGAAAGTCAGAAAAGTCATTTATGAAATCCTTATTGCACTTTGGCGGACGATACACGACTGTGTATAGGTGAGGCCGGGTTCAGTTCAAAAAGCTGCAACTCAAAGCTAGCGTAGCTAGTTACAGGGTGAAGCAATCGGCATTGGAGGCTAGCTCTAAACACTGATGCTATGCCCCCACCATGGCCGGTGGTACGGGGGGAGCTGAAGAATGTACAGTCAGGAAGCACGTTAGTTAGCATTACAGCCTTAGCCTTGTCATTTTTATTAGCCTGAACATGAAGTAACATTAAGTTAACAAAGTGTTAAACAGTAGAGTAGTAGTCATATTTCGTGAACCCTTTGAAGAGTACTGTCACACCGTTGTGATCATTCTATAATACACCTTTAAACCCGGATGCCCCCGAGGGAGACATGCTAACGCTAACGCTACATTAGCATCGGCGATCTTTTCTACTTCATGCTATCTGCACAAATGGTTAACATTGAACATTAAAATGATCAGGCAGTTCAGGGATAATCGAAGGAAGGCAGGCAGGCAGGCAGCTTTGCATGACATTCTTCTGGACGTGTTTCATTGTGGTGATAGTGAGGGTAGTCAATCCCTTTTTTGGCAAGACAGTAGTGACGGCCATCTTGGTGACGTGTGTTGTTGTGCGAGACCAGAGATGTAGTTCATTGAGCGGTTTCACACAAAAAAAGTCTTACTTCACTGTTTTACGTAGGGCTGTTCAATTAATCGTATTTTAATCGCAATTACGATGTTGGCTTGCAACGATTATGAAAATAACATAATCTAAATAAAAAGATTTCTTTTTCATTTTATTTTCATTTTTTTATTTTTTTTTATTGGTTTTTCAGTTGAATTATACTTAAAGTTCAGGGTAATCAACTGTTAAAAACATACTGCTCAAAAAAAAATTTAAAGTAAATGGATAATCGTTTTTAATAATCGTGATATCAATTATTGACCCAAATAATCGAGATTATGATTTTTGCCATAATCGAGCAGCCCTAGTTTTACGGCAAAACATTTTTTTTTTAACTTGCAAAATTATCTTTTAAATTGACAAACATCATATGATAAACACTTAATGCATCACTTATTATAATCTCATATTATATCATTCTGAAAAGGGCCAATCTGAATAATGAGTACATTTTGATGCTAATACTTTTTTACTTGAGTAACATTTCGATTGCAGGACTTGTAACAGAGTATTCCTACACTCTGGTACTTCTACTTGTACTCAAGTACAAGATCTTAGTAATTATTTCACCTCTGGAGGTATCTGAAGACATTAACACACAATGTTAATTTCCGATTTCACAACAACACTTTTTCTGGCATAGTTTCAACCAGACATGTTATGTTGCTCCACAAACATGTTAGGACTGCAGCGCTTTGCACGGTGTTGCTGTTAATTTGTCCACACTCCCTAGGCGTTGGAGTGCTGGGCTTTCATTTTGTTTTTCACTGCAGCCAACTCGCGTCCAGTTCTGTGTTAAGACTAAAATCAGAGTTTGTGGCCAGCTTTCAGGTTAAACAGCCCGACCAAAGTCCACACAGACAAAGTCATCTGATGTGTAATATCGCTCTGAGCACTTCATCACAAACACGATGAGAACATGTGTTACCTGACAGCCTGCAGTGATGAACCGATGATAAAAGTAAAGCAGGACAGTCAAGTCATGAAGTCAGCTTCACCAAAGAGTTTCACTTTATTTCCCGGAAAACAGGATAACAAAACTCCTCTGGAAAATAATCTACTGACGTCTAGCGTTTGTAAAGAGAATAGCTTTTTTTTCTGACTAACTTCAAAACTAATTGTGCTAAAGATGTGGTTTAATCTCCAGTAACAATGTGCCAAAGTGCATATATGATGAAAAATAGACCCTGGCTGTGCCACTCCATTAATGATTGACACGCAGTATTGATTGGCTGTGTTTTGGGGATTAGGGCCTCTGTTTGAATAAGGGCTCGGGTGGGTGTCAGGGTTGTATGCTTTCTGCGTTTTCTGCTGTTTTCTGGGGATTTTCTTTTGGTCATTATCAGATCGACCGGTGATCGGACTTCAGAGATCCCAGCCTGACTTCTAGCCCGCTAAATCTGTTGTTCCCGTCCAAAGACCTCAAACAATGAAACTGTTTCTGTACTTTATTCTGGTGACAGTCGCACCGGCCATTGGTAAGACTGTTTTATAATCCTAAATGTCTTTGTTAAATTGTCTTTGTTGTTATGATAGTGCTAAATATTTGGTTTTATTAGACTCTATTTGGACTTGTGATTCAGAGTAATGGCCTGTTTGGTTACTGTCTGTGTAGTTAGAAAGAAGTGAGCCTACAGCACAAATAAAAAATAGTAAATTACTGTGAGTTTAATCTTTTGGAGTGTTTGATGAAGTGTTTAATTAGAAGTATCAGTACCACACTCTGAAAGGCTCAAATACAAAAAAGTAATGAATTCAAAGTATTTGTTATCTGCAGAATGTGCTTAAAGTATCAAAAGAAAAAGTAGGCTATTCATTTGTTTCCTCTCAGTGCTTTACTATTAAACATTATGTTACTGATGTTACTGCTGCATTAATGTTGTATTGACTATTAACTGCTGTTGATATTTAAGTTGTATGTCTTTTTATACAGTTGGGTGATTTATTATACAAACTAATCAATCATATTCTATAAATCATCCTTTTTGTGGTGTCACTGGCCTGTAAGAACCACAGATCTCTACAAGCTTTGTGACGATGCATTTTCCAGAAAATCCAAGAAGGGTTTTAAATACTTTATTTAGCTTATCAAGTATTACATATGAGAATATCTCAAGTAACACCCCACCCTTCAGTTTATCTAAGGTAGCATAAATAAATAAATTCTCAAGTAATGTATACATATTTAAAATGTGTACTTACTTAAAAGTACAATACTTACAGCTACATTTCCTCCCTAGACAGTTATTTAATTATCTATTTATGGATCAGGATACGATGAAGAGTAAGTGTGTTTATTAAGGAATGTGTAAACTAAAAAGATAAAATAAAAATCCCCAAAACACCTCAAAATATTTTTAATGTAACCTTCTTCAGAGTACTAGGATTATGCTGTTATACATGTCAGCACTGCATTACTTGTGATAGCAGTAGATTGTGGTGGTGGTCTGTTTCAAGAACCAGGTGTACTGAGTTGCTGTTTGAAGTTTTTTCTGGTGTCAGCGTCTTGGTCCAAAGGTTATATGTGTGCAGGCTCGTGCCCAAATGTTGCAGTTGGTACCAGAGAGCACCACCACTAAACAGACAGAGGCCGTCATGCCAGGCACTTTAGGTTTTATTCCTCTGTTCTCATAAACAGCCTACCGCAGTCCACTGAATGACTTCCAGCGCTCTGAGGGCAGAGAGCTCGTCCCCACCTCCTGGAACTCAGCTCAGATGTTGCTGTTAGTGGTCCTGAACCTGGAGGACTGCGCCACTCGCTGCTCACAGTCTCTGGACTGCAGGTAGCCAGCCTTTACTCTGATACAGCATCACTAGACAACAGTTCCTCCAGACCAAAGTGTCCAATAAGATTTATATTGTAAAAAGACACCTATCTCTAAACCAAAGGTCATCTTCTGGTCTATTTCAAACTTCATTTTGAAGTTTTAATCCTTTCAGAGATGATGCAGGTTATCAACAAACAGTTCAGATTGATCATCCAAACTTTTAAACTGTGAGGTCTGACGTGTAGTTGCTCCTTCAAGCATGTCTCAAGATCAATTATTATCGCTGACAAAAATGATGGCCACTGTGAACTCTTTGAAATAAAAGCACAGTTATAAAAAACATGAATTCTGTCTAGGAGAATTGTAGATACTTGACGAATTGATTAGCCAATCCACAGAAATATAATATCCAACACAATTTGATAATTGATTGAACATTCAATTGAATACTTTTGGAATTTGAACTGACAAAACAGGATAGTAAAAGACATCATGAACTTTTAGAGACTTGGATGAGCAATTGTTATTCTCCTTTTGACATCATATAAACCAAATGAAAACAATCCAGAAAATGCTGAATGAAAAATAAAATTAATTGACAATGAAATAATGCTAAGTTGCAGCCTACTATACTGTAGGTTAGTATCCAATAAAGTTTTGACATGAAAACATCCCTTTAACACCAGAGCGTTCAACTACGAGACCCGTCCGACCGTCTCCTGTAAACATCTGCCCTGGGTGGGGGATGGGAGCAACGCTGAGGTGAAGAGGAACGTAAACTGTGACCTCTACGAGAAGAAAGGTGAGACTCATTGTGTGATAACACAGACATCACTGTGAGTGGTCAATTCTGGAGGGGATTCATTGTTGTTTTTTATTATGCAGTCTATGTCAGAAAGTGCATCGTGGGTAAAGGAGAAGACTACCGAGGGAAAGTCTTCACCACGAGAGGTGGGCTCAAATGCCAACAGTGGTGGTCCAAGTTCCCTCACGATCACAGGTGAGACCGTGTAATCTCTTTAGAGGCTCATGCAGTGTATCAGGCATCGGATTAAAGTGAAAGAAGGATTATGGGGTTAGACAGCTGATATTCAGATAACTTACATATTTGAAAACGCTTTTATACATAATCCTCCAATTTAATAGATCCTTTACCTACAGGCAACCTGAACAGGAAGTGTTTTATGGCCAAACTGTTGAATGCCTCCAACTCATGGTGTGTTTAACAACCCAAAATATCAGGAAGCAAAGATGACCACAGTACAGGACTAGCATAGAAGATAGTTTGTTGACGTTTAGGGGTTTAGCTTTTATAGACTTTTTTTTTTTGACAAAATGGTAAATGTGACAGCTTTATTTAAAGTTTCAATCAATATTATATATAACATATTTGTGTTTAAACAGTTGATTTAAATGGCTGTGATGTAAAAGGGGGTCACTGATGCCAACCCATCGCCACCTTTCAGACTAATTTTAGTTTTTCTGGCCTATCTTCTAAACTCTCATGAATCTTGTTTTTTAAAGGAGGTGGCAGGAGTTTTTCCAGATGTGTCAGTAATTGTTGTATTATAGCTTGTGGTTAATTGTAATTTGTCATCTAAAACAGGAAACTGTGTATAAAGAGGCTCCAACTCCCACGCTATTTATGTAATGTGGATGTAAACACCTGTGATTAAAGCTGAGAGTCGTCACTTTAACATGTTGCATTGCAAATCCAATGACAGGTTTAAAAGGGCTCTTTAAATAAATATGAGACGGTCTGAAAATGTTTTGACTGCCCTGCATCAAACAGTCTGTCGCTCACTGTATATTTCTCTGCTGGTCTCAGGTGGACTCCCACAGCTACCAACGGTCTGGAGCTGGCCTATTGCAGGAATCCAGACGGGGATCGGATCGGCCCATGGTGCTACACCACCGACCCTGAGCGCCGCTATGAAAGCTGCAACATCCCCCAGTGTAAAGATGGTACATCCCATACAAGTCGTAACAAGTGCTGTGTGATGTAAAAAAAAAATGGTATCAATACTTTTAAAGCAACAAACAAGCTACATAATTTTGGTACAAATCATAGGTAAAACAGAGAATGAACACATAATTTGAGTTTTTAAAGAAATAATTGCGAATATAAATATTTAGATAGAGTTTAAAGCAAATCTATTTACCTCAAAAGAACTTGAAAACTCACTGAAATGAATTTAAACCGAAGACAATTCTTGTTTTGTTGGAAACCTTTACTCCCCTTTTTCCCTGAAATTGTTACTTTGGTAAGAGAAGGTTATAATTACCAAGTGAACAAATTGAAACCCATTTCCTTGTAATCATCAACAAATGTGGCTTTTACAAAAATTACATCACCTTCTTTTGGTGGAATTATTTGGGCGTAATCGGATATGTAAAATAAAATGTGTGTATTTATTTAGTTTGCTTCCTGCTTCCCTCCTGATGTTGAAGCTGTGTTTGTGGTTTTGTTTGCAGAGGTATGTATCACATGTAACGGAGAGGACTACAGAGGACAGGTGGATCACACTGTGAGCGGCAGAGAGTGCCAGAGATGGGACCAGCAGTACCCGCACCAACACATCTACCAGCCTGAAAAGTAATTCACTACACAATCAAATGTACTCATCATGTAAAGTGATGTTTAAGTCCTTTTCAAGATTCAAGATTAAAAGATTCAAAGGTTTTATTGTCATATGCACATAGTTACAGTGTAGAAATGGCAATGAAATTCTTCTGAACTGTTTCCTTATTGTGGACATCATAAATTACGTTTTTTCAGATATCCAGATAAGAGTTTAGATGACAACTACTGCCGTAACCCGGACGCCTCCCCCGTGCCGTGGTGCTACACCACCGACACCGAGACGGAGCGGGAGAACTGTGAGATCAGCAAGTGCAGTAAGACGTGGCTTCTTTTTTAATCAGTATCAGAATACCTTTATTAGTCCCCCCAATAGTACATAGTCTATATATAACACTATAAACAATATCCAGGGTAATATTAAAGATTGAACAGTTAGATAATTTGTCAGTAGATGAAAAATAATCAGCCACTTTTGTGTAAAATGCCAAACATTTCCAGCTTCTCAGCAGTAGAGATCCTCCCCTGTGAAAGTAAACTGAATATTTATACCTATTTAATTTAATAGGTAGTGGTTGGACCAAGTTTCACATATGTGACTTGGATTCTGGGAAATAAAACAGGAAATGTACACTTTTTAGTTTACAGTTTGTAGACCAAAGTGTTCATTAATT